AACCTGATTTCAATGCTTTTGCTCCAAAAGCTCCAGCTAGCTGTGTTAGTCCACTCTACTGTAAATTCCTTGGAAACAAACTATGCAGTATTGCCCCTTATACGCGTACATTGTACTAACCTTTGAATGCACTTATATGCTTATCTTTTTCTTTGTTTTTTCCCCTTGCCCTCTGTCTTATTACAACTGCAGGTTGGTACATACAATAGAAATGGAACAGTGCAGATGTTTTTACCAGTTCTAAAAATTTTCTGCCTCCATTTTAGACGTCTACTCGGAAGGCTGAACCATCTGGGTATGCTGACACTGTAATTCTAAAGGGACATTGTCAAGGTAGATAGGCGCAGAATTTGACCTAGCTTTCTCTCACTAGTGGCTTTTGTTTTAAATTAATGGTTGCGTATTTTCTTTTTTTTTTTTAATTGGTCGTAGTTGCTACCCATGAGCTACCCCAGTAACAAACAAATCAGGCAGTGGATGCAAGGGCCAAAGCAACGATGATCAAACGCTTTCAGCTTTGAGTTTGTAAAGGAATTATGGACAGCTATAACAAAAATTAAAATGAACTTAACATGACTGAAATGTGACCATACTGGCAAATGAAGGGCTGATGCTCTGCTGGTGTAAAGAGGTGCAGCTCCATGGACACCAGCTATACAGCCAGTGGCCTGAAATCCTCTGTTGTGCCACAGTACCTAACTGGAACCTGCAATGGGGCGCTGACCTGGCTGAGGCCTCTAAGCACTACTGTAATATAAAGAATAATACAACCCACTAGCATACACTCAGCTAAAACACTTGCCTGTGGTCCCAATTTCAGCAAGATATTTAAGCATGTGCCTAATTTTTTAAACCCAGGTTTAAAATTACCAAGTGCTTAAGTCCCAACAAAGCAAGGTATTTATGTACCTCAACCCTGTTCAGAGAACCAAGGCTACAAGAAGAAACTTGCATTCACATTCACTACTTTGTCTCTCTGGGTTCCAGTAGTGGTAATCTCAGTGGTTTCCACTGGGAACTGTGCTGATACCATTTTTTTCCCCCACAGTGGTTATCAGCAGCCATCAGATGGAACCCCACCTAGCCACCACCAACCTGTATCATATTAAAATCACTGACCTAGAGACGTAAGATGCTGTATTCATTATCACTCCCCAGACTCAGCCAGTTATCTGTTTGTTTGTTTTTTAATTACAGCAAATACCTTGACAGTGTCCTTTTAAAGTTCCAGTTTGAAACTTTCCCAGGATTCAGATTTGCAATGAGTTTTAAATAGTATAAATACATTCCATAGGAGATCCACTGCATCTGTGTGATGCTGCTGCCCCATGATGGCAGACCAGGACCTCCCTTTGTAATTAAACAGTCATGTTAAAAAGCTGTTGTTTTTATTCACTACTTGGTGTGGTTCGGTTTCCTGTTGTCAGGACCAGGAGTACTTAGCTTGCTTTCAGCAGCAAAGCACATAAGGAGTCAGGGATGCAGTTGCAGTAGGTATTGAAAAGACAATGGATAGGAATGTATTGAAAAGTCACAGATCATCTGCGGATATTTTGTTTTTAAAATACTTTTGCTTATTTTACCAAAATACTGATTAAGACTTTGATTCTGCAAACACTTAGATATGTGCTTTATAAGCACATTAGTCTCACTGGCTTCAACAGAATGACTCATGCTCTTACAGGTTCTGCACATACCTAAGTGTTTGCAGGATCAAGGCTTAATTTTGTAAAACCAATTATATTAAAACACTATGTTGACTTAATTTCTGCCATGGCCAAAAATTATGGCTGGTGCATGCGTGAGAGCAAATGCCATTGTTTTACCCAATGTTGTAGTGACACTTCAGTTACCTATGCATTCTTTATATCTAGTGATTCTGTAAGTAGGCATACGCTATGCCTTGTATGTCTCATGTCATTTTTGAATTAACCTGTTAAATACAGCTTAAAATATTTTTATTTTATTTATTCTATTTTTACTGAAATAGCCTGCATTATGATGTTGATGTACTATCTTTACTGGACATGATCTCACAACATATCCAGTGCTAAGTAATCTCCATGTACTATAGGTTGCCTAAAAAGGTGGGTTTTATAATTATATGTAGTCACATTTTTATTGGAGTATGTAGAAGAAATGGCAAAACAATGTGTAAAGCTAATTTCTCTTATTTTATAAATGCAAATGGTAAGTTAGAGGCAGATATCACACGCCACCTCATTAATATGCTCCCTTGCAGAAGCAAGGAGATTTATAGCCACAGCCAATGTCTATAGTTTAAAGCCTTTTCTTTGAGTTGCTGCAGTTTTTAGTTTTTATTTAAACCACTTATGATTTCATTTGGGGGGGAAAAAAAGGTGTTGTAAGGATATAAGAACCACCTACAGATTGCATGAAAGGAAATTGATCCCACTTACAGTATAATGAGTTCTTAGTGATAAACTTTGTGTAAAGAGCTACCTGTACCTCTTCAAAAAAAAAAAAAAAAAAAGAGTCCTTCCTTAGATTTGCAGGATATAAAGGTATGGAATAACTAAGACTGTTTTGTGTCATTTACTAAGATTTCTAAATCCCTTTTCTTTTAATTTTATCAAACATGTCATAAAGCAATGAAGCAGGGATATAAAACTGTTAATAAGTCTCATGTGAAAACAGCTATTTTTACTTTAATAGCTGATACTGGCTCAGCCTTTACAGCTTTAACATTAACACTGTTACTTCTATCTGTGCAGGCTTAGTTATTTTAATATATTGCTAAAAACCTGTGCTGTACAGTCACCAAACAAAGGTTTGATTTAGCTTAGTATTTGCAAAAGAGAAAGGGAAAATGCACAGTTTATCAGTCAGAGCTCAGTGTTATATAAAGCAGCTGATTGACACTGAAAAGAACTTTTTTTTTTTTTTTGCTGTTGACCACTTTTACACATTTAAATGTAATCTGTTGTGAGAATAAATTTAGATGCATAAAATGCTTGACTCACTAGTCCATAAAGTTTGGAAAGTAGTTCATTTCTTGGGACAGAACCTTGGTGGGGGGAAGGAGAAAGTTTCTCTGTATTTACTGTTTAGAAAAGATACCAATACATTGGCCAGTTCAGAAGAGAGACATTAATGTATTTTCTGAATTATTCAGTGGTAAATGTTAAGCCAGTATTAAGGAAAAGGTGGTACTATGATTTGCCCTAATGCACAGCTTGAAATATAAACTGCTTTTAAGTCCTAGAAAGGATATTTTTAATGGGTGGAGGAGTAAACGGAAGTCAGATTTGTCTGTTTTAAAGCTTACAAGTAAAAGGCTATATAGCCTTTTACTTGTATGTTGCTGGTGCAATTCTGGGTCAATCTGGGAATACTTAAAATTTGCCACCAGCTGATGGCAAAAGTGGTTTGTGAACTAAGTTGTTCTCTAGCATCATATTTATCACTGTTGGCTCTTGGACAATCTAGTCAAAGAGACTGAACCAGCCCCTGGAGATCTAGTCCTAGATCAGATGAGACCCAGTGGTGGGACAGCAGATGGAAACTTGCACCACTGTGCTGTACCCCATATGTGAACAGAACTTCCACTCCCAGAGCTGTCTACTGGCACCTTTTAATGAGCACACGATTTTTATTTTTAAGAGAGACTGTTTATACTTAGTTTATTGTTATAACACCCACTGTGCATTATTAAAAATGAAAAGATTTTAAAACCCACCCACTCTTTTTGCCTTCCCTTTCCCAACTACAGAATCTCACACCCCTGCCACCTACTTTGAGCCATGCTTAGGAACTATATTTCAAATAAATTTTTACCTTTATATTTTCCATTCCCTTTCCCTAAACGGCAGCTTCTCTTTTCTCATCCTTATTGTGAACTATGATTGTAAAATAGTGTCATTTTGTTCTCTTGCTTTTTTCCAGTTGTATATTGCAAGCACAGGACTCAAGCCAGGAGCCTTACAATCTGCCCAGAAGGAGACCAGAGAATGAATTGTGATTGTCACAATTCTTCCCTGGCAGTTGGGAAGCAGAAGTTCACCCCTTTTCATGGATCTGTTTACTCTTGACCAGTGAGGGTGGGTGTGTGATGCCAAGGCTGCTCCTGTTTACTCACAATGAGGTAACGGGTGAGCAGCACAAAACTTTTACCTATTAGAATTATTTCTTTTGTTAAACAGATCACTTTCAGCAGTAGTGGGAAAACTCACCTTTTATGACCACAGGCTCTTTTGCCCTTTGTTTCTCTCCCTTCTTTGTTCCTTCTATATTCCCGTTGGGAGGAATTCTCAATTTTCTTCTTTGGATTTCACTCCGACCCTCTTGCCCTTGTCTAAAATGATCATCAGTAGCTAATACTGACATTTGAAATGTTATCATTAGAGTAAACAGATCCATGAAAAGGCTTAGAATTAACATCTCAATTAGATGAATTATCTCTAATTGGTATCAGGGTTGGCACAAAGAATCAGGTTCCAGGTACTTAGTTTCATTTTCCCCCCCCTCCTCCCTCCATGTCTGGGCTATTTTGGGTGGTTGGAGAGGGAAACCATCCTTTGCTAGGCGCTCCTATAGATTGCAGTAGACTACATGAGTTCCTGTCCTGCACAGCCCAGCTGGGATACAGGCAATGGAGCAGACACTTTGTTTTTTCCCTGCAGTGCAGAAGTAGGCCTGTCGGGGAGCAGTTGCAGCAGGTAAAGCTTCTCAAGAGTGCTTTCAGGTCATACTGAAGGTCCTACTAGGGCTGCAAGGGAAGCAGTATCCACTACCACCTCCTCAGAGCAATGCAAATACTTGTTTTAAAATGGCAGGCACCATATTTATTTCATAATCAAATATAAATTTGAACCTCAAGGGCCACACATTGGATGCCAGTGATATAATGCATGGCTTATTGCATGCAAGTTCCCCTCTTTGTATTGTATGTCTTGGAGGGTTCAAAACCAGAAATCAAACCCTTGTCAAACTAGGTGCATTTGTCTAGCTCTCCTTTAGATTCTCTGTACTGAGTATGGAATGTGCACACAATAATACTTCTTACTTTATTTTATTTGAGAACTAGGACAGTTTAGTAGAAGTACCAATACAACGGACCCAAGTGAAATAGGAAAAAAAAAATCTTACTTTTAATATTTATGAAGTACACACTTCTGGTTTAAAAGAAAGTTAATAAAACCAATCCTATTCAAAAATATGTTGCATAATACTTATTAAGTTGCTAGTTGGGTTAAATGTCTCAAGTCAGTAAGAGCAATTCTACATACAAATATGCACTAATCATTTCAAACAGGAAGGAATTTCTGAAGTTCCACTCAAATTTCAGAGTTAAGATGTCCTATGGTTAAGAGAACCTTATTTTATCTTGCTTAAAAAAAAAAAGTTGGTACACTGAAACTACTGAGAATGTGATAAACAATTCTAGATTCATAAAAGTTAAGTATTTTAATAGATTGACATCTCAATATATTTAGCAAGATGTAACCACATATTAAACGCAGATAGAAATGATTGACAGTTAATGTATACTGTTTAAAATGATTTATAGTTTAACTTGCAACCTGATCTTTACATATAACTAGAAATGCTGTTTATCATTTCCCCCCTCAATCACCGATGTTTCCAAAGAAACTGTTAAAATCATATAAATGTAAACCAAAAACTTGCTGTCATTGTTCAGATGAATAATATTGGTATTAAGTGTTCCTATTTTGCTTGACATTTGTCACCTGTAGGGATGCAGAATAAGTACTTTCACGATTTCTGAATTGTTACCACTAATAGACAGCAGTTTCATGAAAAGCAGCATTTGAGCTTCCTTTTACCAGCTGCCATTAGGCTGACAATTATGATTTTTATAAACCATGGCAGCACTGTGACTTGTCAGAGATTATAATTCAGAATTCATTTTAGCATCAAAATACCTGTCTAGTTTTAAAATGAAATTTTCTATTCAATTTTTTTAAACAAAATTTCCTCTGCTGCTTATTAAAGCACATCTGACTGAACTGAGGCATCCGTGTGCTCCCCAGCTGTGCACAAAATTTTCAACACAAGTACATACAATGTAAGCATGTGAATAATACAGAGCCATTTTTAGAAAAAATGGGCAGGCTAACAATTTTGATGATTCGCTCTGATATGCCGTGGTCATAAATAATACTTTTCAACAAGATGGTAGCTGAAAATTGTAAGCTCAGACAACCATAATTTCATTGTTGCTATGTGAACTTTTAGACCACTGAACAAAATGTGCAAAGATTACTTTTAAAATTAAGTATGCCCAAATATGTACAGAAGGTTATTGAAGCATGCCTTTTTTCTACATGTCACATTCTACTGATTAGTAATTAGCTATACAACTTTTGAGCTCACCCCCTAGGGATTTGAATAAGCTACTGTAGTTATTACTTTATGTGCATTTTGACATTCCAAATTGAATAGCTGGACTGAAACAACTACATAATAGTCTCTTTTGCAAAATATCTCCCTGCTATTTCCATAATAGCCATGAAAAGAGTATTAATTATAAATGTTCCCTAAAGGTAAGTAGTGGCCTGCACAGATATACCCTGGCATTATAGAAATATAATTTCAAACTTTGAAGAAATAACTATGAACCAGTTACAAAAATCCACTTTCAAATCCATGGTCGAGGATGCTTAACCATAGTCGAAGGTAACGTTTCTTTTGGTTTGACCAATCTTTTTGATAAAGAAGGTATAAATAAGTCACGTGCTGAGCTCTTTATTCCAATCCAGCGATAGTAGTAATGTTGAGCCGAAATTTGAGATTTGTTCCCTTGTGGATTGAAGTATGGCACCATTACTGGAGGCAGAACTATCTCCACAGGTTTCAATACAACCATTTTATCTTCTACCCGTGGCTTTCTAATGTGTGTCCGTCTCTCAAACACCTTACTCATAGATGACAGATTGGGTGTGTTCTTCAGCATTCCTGGCAGGGATGAGTTTGAGATGGGTTTGGTAATTTTCTTCAATTGAATGGAACTGTTTGTTTGATTCACATTTTTTTGTGGAACACTACTAATTGCTTTAATTGGTGAAACTTCAGAATTAGTATTAATAGCTATCATTTCTCGGTTGAGGAACTCCACAATGTTTGTTTGTACCCCAGTATCTTTAGGAACATTTCTTTGCTGTGTTACTTTTGATTTTTTCTTCCTCTTCTCTTCTCTCTTTGATGATTTCCCTATATCAAGACCTTCTAGTAGTCCCTTTGCTGCAGCACGAGCCAAAATGTCTTTTACAGACATTACTTCAGCTGGATCCCTCTGAAATTAAAGAAATGTTAGTGGAGCTAAACTACACCATCAAGCTATGCACTCTATTTTAATCCCTTAGGATACACCTGCACTTTAAAATATATGGCAATGAGTCTCAGTCCCTGGGTGTGATGGAGTGTATCAATCCCACACTGGCACTCCAGGAGTTAATAAATTGCTTTGGGCCCAAGGGACCACACCCCCTCACCTTTGCAGGACATGCTCTCAGTGGAGAGAGCATATAAAAGGAAGCAGCTCAGCTCAGTCTGGGCTGGCTAAGGAGGACAGCAGTCGTATGATGCTGGCTCCTACCAGGAAGTTGCCTGGACTCCAGACCACCGAGGCAGAGCAGCCTGACCACATTGCAGGGACCAAAGGGGATAACAAGCTGCTACCAGTGGAGAGATACCAGAGCCAGAGCAAAGGGTAGGAAGTGACCCAGCAGATGCGCTCAGGGATACAGAGACCTGAATCCTGCACCAAGGTAACTGGTTTCAAAGGGCCCTGTGTCAGAACCTGGTGGAGAAGGGTGGGCCTGGTTTCCCCTATGCCCCACTGCTGCCAGAGCAGCTCCTTGGGCTCTCACTGCTTACTCCTGACAGAGGAAGCACCCTCCTAGACTTCCACCACTGGGCACTACTGGATACCCTTGACACTGGGTCTACAGACTCAAGCTTGTGCTATGGTGCTAAAAGCAACAGGGTTGCTGTGTCTCTGAAGTCCACCCCCACCCCCCCTTCAGCACCCAAACACCAACCCAAGCCCCTATACCAGTGGTTCTCAAACTAGGGCTGCCGCTTGATCAGGGAAAACCCCTGGCGAGCTGGGCCGCTTTGTTTACAGTCTGCGTCCACAGGTTCGGCCAATCGCAGCTCCCACTGGCTGCGGTTCGCCGCTCCAGGCCAATGGGGGCTGCAGGAAGCGGGGCAGGCCGAAGGACATGCTGGCCGCCCTTCCTGGAGCAGCGAACCTGCGGACTCGGCCGGTAAACAAACCAGCCCGGCCAGCCAGGGGCTTTCCCTGAACAAGTGGCAGCCCTAGTTTAAGAACTACTGCCCTATACAGTGCTAAGCACAGCTATGATGCAAACCGAGGGCTGTAGACCAGGCTCTTGAAACTTGCTGCTGTGGGTTTTAAAATGTATAGATATATCCTTCAACCCCTTACAGCTATTGTCAAGCTCAGTGAATGGTCTAGAAAAAAAAACCAATGCAAACATCTTGAAAGCAACAGCTGCATGCTATTAAAGGATGTTGACTTTACTGCAGAATCAAGGGAGTATATGGTCTAGTTTAGAGTAGGGAAATGGAATTCCAGACTCATGTGTTCTATCTGCACTTTCTACACTGACTTGCTGTGTATCAAGTCACTTAAGCACTACGTCAGAGTACGGCAACCTTTCAGAAGTGGTGTGCCGAGTCTTCCTTTATTCACTCTGATTTAAGGTTTCACATGCCAGTTATACATTTTAATGTTTTTAGAAGGTCTAGTTATGTATTATAGACATATAGAAAGAAACTATTGTTGTATGTAAAGTAAATAAGGTTTTAAAATGTTTGACGCTTCATTTAAAATTAAATTAAAATGTAGAGCCCCCCCACCCCACGGACCGGTGGCCAAGACCCAGGCAGTGTGAGTGCCTCTGAAAATCAGCTCGCGTGCCATAGGTTGCCTACCCTTGCAGTACGTTCTAGATTCACAAAGGAACTTCAGCATGGTGACGTTTCTGGATGCCAGGAAGATCACTGGGATTCACCAAAGTTTGAGTTTGGTGCCTAACCTCCCAATACAATAAAGGGGGTGAGAGGTGCCTCAGAATGGGAGTCACAGAAGCCTGCAGGCTAGGTGGCTCCTTGCCTGAGCTAACCCCGTGGGAGACACCAAGCTGAGAGTAGGCCTCCTGCTTAACAAGAAGAGGAGAAAGGCTACCACCTCCCTCATAACTTTTAGCCCAAAGGTTAGGGAACTCACTTAGGTAGAAGGGGATGAGTCTCAGCTCCCAAACAAGAGAAGGGATTTGAACTGGGGTGTGCCCCCTCTCAGGTGAGTGCCTTAGGGAGCAGGCTATTAAATTCATGAATTAAACTGTCAAGATAGGTATAAAGTTAGAAACATAACAGGGCTGGGAATGAAACTGAGGACTAGAATACTAAGGGTATGTCTATACTTACCTCCGGGTCCGGCGGTAAGCAATCGATCTTCTGGGATCGATTTATCGTGTCTTGTCTGGACGCGATAAATCGATCCCGGATCAATCCCGGAAGTGCTCGCCGTTGACGCCGGTACTCCTGCTCCGCAAGAGGAGTACGCGGAGTCGACGGGGGAGCCTGCCTGCCACGTGTGGACCCGCGGTAAGTTCGAACTAAGATAGTTCGACTTCAGCTACGTGAATAACGTAGCTGAAGTTGCGTATCTTAGTTCGAAGTGGGGGGTTAGTGTGGACCAGCCCTTAGGCTGAAACATCTCACAGTGAACTCTAGTTATTAGTGTGTATAGCAGTCTCCTTCAGAAATGGTGGGAGCCCCATCTGTGTCATAATCTAAAATTTGATTAGATTATGTATTGGGCGTGGGTGGGAATCCTGCACTGACAGGAAGTTATACTAGATGATTTAACAGGTTTTTCCATTTGGAATTCTCTTGCTGTAATGGAACCCTTTGACTTATCTATCATCCCAAGAGAGAGATGGTTCTCACTGCCCACGTTGTTGTCATAATACATAGGGAGATGGACTGACTGATCAAATCAATCTTATATTTAACTTCCAAAATTAATCACCTTTACCATTTTTTCCATAACCTTGAGTATTTTATCCCCCCCAGAAAAGAGAAATGTCAAGTTTTCCCCACTTACAAGCCACCTTAAAGGTATCAGTTGTGGTCATCATTTTTTCCAGCCCGGACGAGCACTGCATTGATGTAAACAAAGCACTAGCACGAGGCCAACCATTCTTTATACAATGTAAAAGCCTGACACAGCAAACACTACATGTAGTGCTTACTATGCCAATCTTATCCCAGGACAGTGTGGGAGTGGGATGTAAGCTGGAAAATACTTTTAGCTTAATTACAATATAGAATGTATCTACACCATGTTCTGTTTTAGAAGAAGCTGTATTGTGGCTTTTATCAAGTTTATATAATAGTATGCATTTGTTTTGGAAGGAGAGCCTTTACCTCAAATATGTCATCTGAAACGAAGGCATATTTCTAGATACAAAAATACTCAATTAGAAAAAAAAGATGATTTTTAAATTTCAAATGAAAAAGCATTCAGTAGGATAAAAACAGACTTCTTTTGAACAGTTCATCAAAGGAAGCTCCTTCATTTTCTTGGCAAAGAAATCTAGAGTTAGAGGCAGTGAGTGTGTGTAAAGGAGTAGTAAAATATATTTTGTACTGTAAACAGCATTCAAAAGATTCTACTTGAAGCATCAAAACATATCCAGGTAAAACAAATCACAATAAATACTTTCTAAAAACTGTTTAACTATCTTGCAGATTCAATCCTCACTGGAAACTTTCTACTTTTCACTCCATGGTCAAGTAATGGGAGAAGATTCATCTGCTTCAATACTGTTGAGTCTTGGCAACATATATAGCACTGCTGTGATCCCTGCTGGGCTTGATGCATACAGGCAGAACAGGATGGTTGCTTTAAAGCCTCTCTGCTTAACACCAGTTTCAATCAGCATGTTAAACATACCATGGTAACAGAGGCGTAAGGTCATAGGGAAAGAACAACGGTAACTGCATACCAACCCAATCCTCCCTAAAATGTGACAAAGCTAAAAACTGGATCAAGTATACACTAGATTTCACTTGTCACACACAGAACCACCTCTTTGATACATGAACACTAAATAGAAAACTTGTGAGCTCTCCAGCACATCCCTTCTATCTCAGCATAGTGCAATTTCAGAAGCTGGATCTTTCAGTTGCACTTGCCTCTAGAAAAACTTTTGCACTGATTGAAGAAACAAGCAATCTTTTGCCTAGCACGGTGCAACCAATGCTCAGAGACAAGTCCACTGTCCTGTCTGTATGATTATGGTGAAGTCAGGTAATTTATGAACATTCCCTTCTGTGTGTTCATTTTTAAATTTTATTTAAAAACAAAATAGAGAAGAGGAAATCATATATACATCTTAAACAAGTACTTTTCTCAATGCATACTTTTTATGGCTTACCTGTCTTGCTAGAACAGCTAAAAAACAGCAATTGGAAATCTCTGAAGGTTCCATTTTGAAAAAAATATCAGAAGGGCCCTCTATTTCTGAGTTGCACCACAGAGGAGGACTAAGCCTGTAAATATTACAAACAAGACTTGTAATTTTAAAATGTAAATACACTAAAAATTAGTTGAGTACAGCACACAAACTTTTCTTACTGACATGCATTACATTTTAGACACCCTATTACTCATTTAAAAATACAATTTGATTAAAACAAAAATTTACTGATTAGAATTTTAAATATTTTAATGTATACTGTCTTTACCAACAACAAACCTGAACTAAAATAACGTTTTGAATGTTCGTTTCACATTTTCATAATGTGAAATTAGGGCCGATTATTAAACAATCACTGTGCTTTGAGTATATCAAGACAGTGAAGATGTTGGTCTGTATTTAATACAGACATGTTAATTCAAATGTATTAAATATATTTTTCTTTGTTAATGGGACAATATCAAATTATATGTTATAAAAAGTTTCCTTGCGTGTGTAGCTAGAACATCTAAAAAAATTTAAAATCCAGACCCTGATCCTCAGGTTCATTAGGCTGCTTTGAAATGGTTGCATAGAATGTAGAGAAAGTGGTATACTGACTCCTATGTCAACTTTCTCCTTGCAGATTCCGGGACCATTGGCAGCCAGTGTAAATTAGAGCAACCATTAGGCTGCTCAAACTTACACCCTGGTATGAGACTGGTCTACTGGACCAAAAGCCACCTTTGTACCACCTCCTCCTGACCTGTGCCATGGGCTACTCCAACTGGTGATCATCTAAGGAAAAGCACTTCAGTACAGACCACTGGATTTGATACCAAGGAATATATGGAATCAATTCTCCAATACATGTACCTTTGAATAATGCTTAAATTGGGCAGGGTAGATCTAACTAGAGTAATACCAGTGGGACTCCCTATAACATATTAACTGAGAGAAACTGAATAATTTTGCTACATATGCTGAAGCTAACCTAAACTTGGCAAGGTAGTCTCTAAAGGGCCAAAAATAGAAATACACTAACTACTTAAGAGTCTTCATCTGAAAACAAATGGTCACAAAGCACACCCTAAAAGGAAACATGGGTTCAGATTCTGCATGCTGACTGAGCTATGCTCAGAGCAGGTCTAGAGCACAGAGGGGACAGGTATATCACCCTTCCAACAATTCAGTCCTAAGATGAGCACGTGCTGGCCCAGAGTCCCACCACAAAACAGAGCAATCTGAAGGAAAGCCTCACTGAGGAACTCCCTAGGTACCCATATCTGCCAGGTTTAAATCTACTTTGCATCGTTGGAGTGACACTGACAGATATAACAGACCAGAGAATCAAACCTACGGCAGGTTCTGGACTAGCGGTTTCCTGAACCCTTGAATCTTTTGTTTCAGAGGAAATTAAATATTGAGTAAAGTCACTGTCTCTAGATCAGTGATCTGCCCTAACCAGAAATCTTGGCAACACTTCCTTTCACTTTTGTTCTCGGTGCAAATTTTCCAAAAGGAGAGATTATTTTGCTCCTCAGCATAGACAAGATCAGAGTAAATTTAGCAACAGCACAGATATACTGTTAAGTTAGCATAGCCTGTTCCCCTCCAGCTGCAAGTTCTCCCCATTTGATCATAGGAGTTAGCAGTTTTGCAGCAGAATTTCTTGATGAATTCTGCACTCTTTGAAAGTGTGTTTAAAAAAAAAAAAAAAAAAAAAAGATGATTAGAGTTGCTATTTCTCAAGGAAAACAGCTCAAGAAAATGGTCATGAATAATACATTTTAATACATTTGGGCTTTGAAAACATTTTCAATTTATGAAAACAATCACAGTATATATTTTATTTAAGCTATGCCATTATTACTTTGCTCATGCAAATCACTATGAGTTCATAACTATGCATTAAAATATGCAAACTATAGTTACCTATAAGGTCCACAGGATATAATATTTTCCTTCTTCCAATAAAGGAAGCAGTGTTTCCAGAGTCACTATTTTGAATTTTTCTTAGTTATAAAATAGTTTAAGTCTGTGATATTCAAGGTGAGTTTTATCTGCCCTTGCTTTTTTAATATTAGGAAGCACCTTAAACTTGTGCAAAACGCTTCTTTTCTTTTGGCTGGTGTAATAGGTTCCATAATATTTTAGGGAAAGAATTAGCAGAGTGAGTTTGTTTTTTTCTGACACTTAGGTCTCCCTTTGAGGATTTGCCACAATATTGCTTTATAGCAATGAACACTGCTAGGGCTGTATGTGTCCAAGGTGATTCAAAAGACTGCTGGGTTTCAAAGTCCCTCTTTTTCCCCACTTCGGAGACAAGAAGTGGCAGACTTCATAGCCCTTCAAATCCCAAAGGAACAAAAACAATCTAAAGGCTTGAGGCCCATGTTGGTTTTTGGTCCAGCATGACACTGAACCCGTGGCTACTAATGTAGAATAGTTGTATAGGGGCTCCCTTTCACCAGGGACATTTTTACAATGGGAAAATGTATCATGTTCGAACATGTCTTAATTAATATGTTGTAAAATACTCAGACAAGGATGGCTGTGTTAAAGTCATCTACACTAGGGATGGCCATGACTAGCTAACAATTTCAATCACTATGGGCCCTGTCTAAACTGAATCCTAAGTAGTACTGTACTTTGTGCTACTTGACATGTTTTCTAACACTATATATACTGCCACTGTAGAGAGGCTCTTGGAGAGTGCCTAGATAATCAAGGGTGGAAATATGACATCACTTTCATTCGCCTCTGGCAAAGTAACATCCCCTGCCTTTTCTCCAAGGGCAAGTTTTGTATTTGCATTTATATACAAAACAAAAATTACTGTCATTGTTTACGTTTCTGTATTGTGATTTACCCCTTCAATCCACAAGTGGGTACAGAAATCTTTTTAACAATTATGGTAGCTGCAAAGGATGGTTTGTATTCTAAACCTCCATTTGAAATACCTGGACTCCTTGGAAGAACAGCTCCAAAATCCAGGAGAGCTGACTGAGCCTCGCATCCTCCTTAGAGTTTCAGACATTTTTCTATGGAGAGTCTCAGATAAGACTTTAAAACACAGGTCCTCTAACCTACGTATGGACATTAAAGATCCCAAGACACTTAAGTGGAGACTTGCCCCAGCATCCTTGGCCAAAATTTCTCCTTCCACACTTCTGTGCAGCAGGGTATGCATATGATTATTCCTACTCTCAATTCCAATGCAGTGAATTAGAGTGGTGCCAGAAGTGTTTTGGTTTGTGAAGGGCTTTGCAATCCTTTTGTATGCTTTAGGTGCTATGTAAACAAAGTAAAATATTACATGTGAAATAAACAATGTTAGTACAACTTCTGAGCATTGACTGCAGCAGTATCTAAAGCCCACATTAGTGTTGAGGTAGCAAGAAAAAACCTATTTTAAGAGTCTGCATGCATATCAGGAAACTGGGCATTTTTTCCAAAGACAGCAAGGTTTGAACCTGTGTAACTTGGATGACTTTACACACTGATAGCTTAACACCACAAAGCAATTATTTTTTAAAAATGAGAATTGCTGTTTGATCTTCTAGTTACTATCTGACAAGTCCATACCTAAGTTCCCTGGTCTCAAACCTGATTCAGTTTAGCCTAGTTTTCTCCCTGCTCCTGTTGATAGTGAGAAAACAGAACTCCTATACCACCAGTCCAGTAACATCATTTCCATTCCAGTAATGCTCTATTCCCCACCCTGTCAGAATGCTGATCAGAGAGGCACTGTGCAATCAGATCAGCAATCTGATCTGATTGCTGAACACTTTGCACTTCCACATCACCAAAAGGAATGGCAGGTGGCAGAAAAATATTAAACATTGCCATGATGCAAGGGAAATTGAGAGGTCATGGTTTAGGATAGAAGCATGATTCTGAGGGGTAAAAATCCTAGCTAAAATATGGCCAAAATTGGTCCAAGTGTGAATAAGAAATTGTACAATTTTTTGCCAACTTTTTGGATTACTAAAAGACAAATCTACTAAATCGCGTATTTGACACTTTTCCTGGTCTCATCTCTAAACTGGTGTTAGGCAAGCCATACAACACACAACTTTGGGATTAAACCAAGGACAACTCTTGTCAGCAGATCTAGTCCTTTTCATTGGACACCATATAGAATAAGGTAGAATACAATATTAGAATGTCTAATAAGGTCTGTAATAGATTTGCTAGAGTAAGAGTAAGGATATGTTTGAAACCATGCTCTGAAGCGGATTTCCAACAAACAAAATCGATAAATGGTTTAATTCACAGCTACTACATTTTAACTGGTATACTGTATGTGTTCAAATCTCACCTATGCAGGGGATAGAATTTAGATTGTTTTCCTCTGAATCATCCTATCAGGGAGCAGGAGTCTGAGTGTCTCACTATGTCATTGAGACAGGAAAAGGAAATCAGCTCTCTAAGCCTACAGGAGTCTTATGAGTTTTGGGGATTTCAGGACATCTGCAGAAGCCTGGTTGCTTCCCAGCCTCATGGAAGCAGACCAGACAACTGGGTCCTATATTTTGAAATGGACATCCTGGAAGATAAAATCAACTTGGCTTCCCAGCTAAGATGCAAGTTCATTAAACGTGACTGCCACATACACTGAAATGCTTTCTTATAGAGAACAGAGTTATATTATTTACGATTTTGGGAGAGAAAGAAGACAGCAGAAGCCACCTTTACTTAAATTATTCATCATTTAGATTTAAGAAATAATCTTCATAAGTCCATACAATAGACATCTATGGTAAATGCTCAGCGAACACAACTGAGCAAAGTTAAAAATGGAAAAATGTATTTAACTCCTTTCTATGTTTTTAGTCTTCCTCAGAAAGGACTATTTATTCCTTACCTATAAGGCTGTACTTTACTTCCTTCCACTCCAGATTCCAGTGCTTTGTTCACTACTGCTTCATTTTCTTCTGGATAAACTGAACAAGTGCAATAGACAATAGCTTGCACTTTATTAACTATAAACATGTAACAAAAGATTTTTCTCGTTACCATTTTTGGAATAAGGAAAGCAATTTAAAATTCAAAAATATACAATATTTTAAAACACTTCTGTTTCAAATGTTATGAAAATCATTGGAAAGTTATCAAATGAATAGTGAACAACATGCAGAAATATTCAATGATCAGATCATAGAAGATATTAAATCATCCCTGCCATCTCTCTTCCCCCCATGCAAGTTAGTACATTTCTAGTAATCTGTCCAATGTATTTTACATTTTCGAAGCAACAGAGTTGCCAGCACATTTTCCAGCTATGCTACATTCTAATACATTGCATTTCCAGGAAGTTTTTTATTGTTATTAAGATTACATTTTTCCTTTTCAAATGGCATCCTATTACATATAGTAAAACCCACATGTGCCAACCTACATAATTTCTCTCCAATGCTTTTTTATTTAAATATATTTCTAATATTTGCAGACTTAGGCACAAATCCAGGCCTGTGTGTGAGTTGTCCTCATGCTGCTAAGAACAGAAGGGTGAAGGGGAAATGGGAAAGATCAAAGAGGGAATTACAGAAGAGCCTCAGAGTTATGAACACTTTGGGAATGGAGGTTGTTCGTAACTCTGAAATGTTTGTAACTCTTAACAAATGTTATGGCTGTTCTTTCAAAAATTTACAACTGAACATTGACTTAATGCAGCTTTGAAACTTTACTATGCAGAAGAAAAATGCTGCTTTTAACCATCTTAATTTAAATAAAACAAGCACAGAAACAGTTTCCTTACCTTGTCAAAAACAAATTTAAACTTTCCCTTTTTTTAGTAGTTTACATTTAACACAGCACTGTACTGTACAGTATTTGCTTGGGGGGGGGGGGAGAGCTCTGCTGTCTGATTGGTTCCAAATGAGGTGTGTGGTTGACCAGTCAGTTGGTAACTCTGGTGATCGTAACTCTGAGGTTCTACTGTAATCCACATTTTTACAGCCTTCCCAATCCTGGGGCCATGACTAAGCCTCCAGGCAACATAATGACTGTAGCCTCAAAGCTATTATACTATGAGCTTGCTATCAGCAGCCCCTAAAGGCTATTCTGGGGAACACTAGAGCATAGGGATCCCCTGTTCATGCCTCCTGCCATGGGGACAAGAGGGGGTGGCAGTGCACGTAGTGCTAGAATGACCCTATGCCACTTTGAGAAATCCCTGGCTGTCTCGGGGAATCTTTGTCAATGGTCATCTTTCTGTTGCCAGATTAGCACAAAGCAGCTGGAGCAGGTACCAGGATTTGGGCCTTAGTTCTTCCTTAGCCACCACACTGGACAAACTGCACATATTTAGTTCTTCTAAGTTGTTCCACGTGAATCTGTCTCTCCACACTCTTTGTTTCTCTTCCCTGAGCCTCCAATTCATGTTTCTGGGCATTATAGATCCCATGAACTGAAGTCTCTTCCAGATGCTGTTGCACCAGAGCAACAAACAGAGACAGACATGCAATGTCTCGGCACGTATACCACAAAAACCATGGCTGCTGTATCACACTTCAAATGCATTCTTAATGTGTGGTTAATGATTACTGTTTATTATTTGTACTACCACAGCACCTAGGAGCTCTATGCCCAGGCTACATTTACAGTTTAGGTGGACATAGCTACAGTGCTCAGGGATGGGAAAAAAGCTACACTCCAGAGCACCATTGCTATGCTGACCTAACCCCTGGTGTAAACACAGTTAGATCGATGGAAGAATAATTCCAACAACTTAGCTACCATCACATGGGGAGGTGGTGTTCCTACAGCAACAGAAAAACTCCTTCCATCCTCATAGGCTGCATCTAAAACTATAGGGTTATGCTGGCATAGTCACGGCCCTGCAGCTATGCTGCTATAATCCCTGTAGCATAGGCCCTAGTCATGGGCATGGACCCATTGTGCTATGCACAGTATGAATAAAGAACAAAAACGTGGTCCTTGCCCTGAAGTTCATCCCTAGGGTTCTTTCTGCTTCCCGAGACTATCCCTCCAACTAAATAATGTTTTGGATATTTTTCTTTAGCTTGAATATTTCCAAATCCTTTGGGTCTCAGTGCCCTCCTTACTCTGTACATGTGTAAGCGGGGGAATGGTCCCGCTATTGTGGGGAACTTTCCTGGCTTCTGCACTACCCCGGTGAAGTGGGCTAGCGAAAGGATCCGAGTCCTCGCTCCCACTTCCCTTACCCAGAGGCCTCCCTGCCCTTGAGGACTCCCCTTCCACTCTCCTGTCTGGCAGAGTCCTCGTAACCCCGACAAGGCTGGGCCCAGGATTCCTGGGGGGCTTGACCCCCAACCCTGCTGTGGTCACCCAGGACAGGGGCTAGGGTGTCCCCACGCCAGGGTACTCTCTCTGCACTGGGCACCTCCCTGACCCACTGATCATTTCATACAATTTAAAGCAAATACAAGTTGTTTAATTAACAATTACTTTTAAAAAAGAATAAGGAAAAATGGGAAAGGTTAAAGGAAAACACATCACCCTGCTCTGTGGCAGGGAACATCACAAACAGTGTCTCTGGAATGTCAGGGCAGTTCACAGTCTGTTCCTTGTAGGTCCCAGGCCTCCTTCTCAGGCCCTGGCTGTGCTGCAGAGACGCTGCGGGTTGGACACTTGTTCTGGCGGTGGCCACACACTCTCAGGCTCTAGGTGGCAGGACCCCCCCTTCTCAGCGTTGCCCCCGCCCTGACAGGGTTACGATCCCCCCAAGTCTGGCCTGCAAGGCCTCTTGGCTGAGGTGTCTCCCTGCGCTGGGCCCACTGCCCAGGGTCCCCCTCACTTTCCCCAGCTGCTCACCGCACCCAGCTCCGGACTGCTCCAGCCCCGGCTCCAGCTCCCCTCTGCCTCAGCACGGCTGCTGCTGCTGCTGCTCTACCTCCAGCTCCCTGGGCTGCTTCTCTGGCCTCTCTGGCTCTGGTTGCTGCAGCTCTGCCCCCAGGACAGGTCGGCTCTGCAGGCTGCTTCTGTGACTCTGCTCCCAGCTCTGACCTGCTTCCTGGCTGCTTGTCTGGCCCCCCTGGCTCTGGTGGCTGCAGCTCTCCTCCCAGGGCAGCTCTGCTCTCTCTGGGCTGTGCTCTGGCTTTGGGGCTGCAGCTCTGCTTCCAACAACTTAGCTCGGGCCCCTGCTCTCTCCTTAGCTCAGCCCCACTCTGTCTGACTCAGGCCATTCCAGCTCACACGGAGGACGGGACCCCCCTGGCCTCCTGATTCTCTGATTAGCCTGCCCGCCCTGTCAATCAGGCTGATCTAGAGCATTGGCCTCTCCCCATTGTTCCTGGGGACTGTCAGTCTCAGGCTCCTGATTTGCCATCGACCCTTCCCCTTTTAGTGCTGGGAGCAAGCCAGCCAAAACACCCCCACTGAATGTTAGTAAGGGGGGAACAGTCCCCTTACACATGCAGTAATAGCCTGATCCTGCAAACACTTCTACATGTGTGTAACTTTCCTCACATGACTAGTCTCATTGTACTTAAAAAGTTATTTCCATGCCTAAGTATCTACAGAACTGCCACACTACTGTGGGGAAGCAGTAAACTGCTACCCTTCCAAAGTCACCCATGTACAACATATGCTTCGGTTTACCAACTTTTGAGTTTTTAGTTGCTCTTGATTCTTTGGCCCAGATCCTCAAAGGTATTTGGGGCACCTAAGTCACACTGATTTCAATGGGAGTTAGATGCCTAAATACTTCTCAAGATCTGGGGCTTTGTCCACAAACTTCATTTTTATTTACTACTTTTATTATTACAAGTAACATTTTCAAAAGCATTTAAGTCCCACTGAAAGTCAAAGGGAATTACGTGCTTTTGACAATTTTACCCTATAATTATATATCACTTTACCACTGCAGCTGGTAACAGGGAAAGGATCCTAATCTTACGGCTGCTTTAGTGGCTTTTATGTTCTTTAACTTCGGCGCATGAAACAGGTAAGGAGGAAGGACTTGGTTCCGCTTATATAAATGTTGAGAGAAGGAAACTGAGGTAATAAATTTATTCACAGTAGACTATACGAGGTAGACACTACTTTGAGGACATGGTACACATTTACTGTTAAAGTAAGCAATGCCTATTTTATTTATACATTGCATCAAATTATGGTCACATTTTCGTAAACTTGAGAGAAATCAGACTTACATCGCATTGCATGCATTAACTCCTGAAGTTGCGTCTCAGCAAGAATATGGAGTTTATTTTCAGCTACAGATCCTTGAGAAAGGTCTCTCAGCAATCCTGCATCTGAATGTAAAGTTATTAAAACAACAATAGCCAAAATCATTTTTACATTTAAAACTCATGTCCATATTTTATAATCCATTTGTTTTCAATGAAAATTCTCTATTAACAGACCTGATTACTGCTGATGTAGTGAAATCAAAACACATGAACTGCAAAGTGCAAGGGTGCCTATATAATTACTTTTTCCCTCCTAGTTATTCGGTTTATATTTAAAACATTTCTCAGTATTTAAAGAAGATTTTGTACAATAAATCCACTTAAATCACTTAAGTCCATAAGGAGATATGGTTAACTGAAAATGAAATGCTTGACAATACCTTAAATCTTGAAACAAGTGTTTTATTTGTGACGTATTTCTTTTGTGAAATAGACAACATACAGTGAACGCTCAATTAGAATAATGCTCAACTTCATAAATCTATTTAATTAACTTGAAACTATTCTTAGAGATTTCTAACTGGTCTTCAAATCCTGTAGAGTCATCAAGAGCATTACCACAATGCTCGTTTCCTTTTTGGACATCTTGAATTTTCAAATGCAAATCAGAACTAAGCAAAAAATCTTTTTGTTTGTTTGGCTTCTCTGGTTAAATGTCTCTCTCATTATATATCAAGTCCTGCAAAACACTGAGCACACCCTTAACTCCCACTGAAGAGGGATCTTGAGCCACAAAGATTGGCCCTAAACCAAAAAGTCTGAAAAAATAATGAAATTCTTTAATCACGGTTAAGTATCACCACATTTTGTTTTGTCAAAAATGTAGTGACATATTGTGACATACACATTGTGAAAAGTAAAAAACTGAAATTAAATTGAAACAAAATCCAAACCCACAGACAAAAATTAGGGTATATTTAAATCTGAAATTTCTCCCTGTCTGAGGTAACCACCTCAGCTAAGTAAACTCAAAGTTGAAGGTTTCATATCCCACAAAATGGTTATTATCGAGCTAACAGAAACAGAAAGCACTCTTATACTGAAATGTGTCTACATCCCTTCTAGGCTTCTTTTCTATTCCTCCTCATCCCATAAGCAAGTTTTAACCCTCGCTTCTGCTAGGAGATATTTAATTTCAAATTTTATTAATTTTGACTCCTTAGTTCCCTGTCCCCTTTCAATAAGTATTAGTAATCAATGAGCTAGTAATTCCCCACTGAATGGGGAATATGAAGAACTCTCCCACTGGAAGGAAGAACAGGAAGAGAAAGGACCTCGCTGGTTGTGAAGTGCAGATCAGAGAAGACATGGTTTGAAAAATGTCAGCAGCACTTCACACATTATACTAAGTTTTCTAGCCTTTATTTTTGTCACAACCTAAATGTTAAAAGTTAGGTACTTCATGTATTCTGTCAGAATAAGGTCCAGATTTAAATATTAGCTGATTCCATCTGATGAGTAATATGAAGTACCGCAAAAAACCCAGATTCTGTTTAAACGCAGTATTGTTCATTAGGTTTTCCTATATTTCTCATTGCCTTTTTTTAATCAGGATGGGCGTGTAATTAATAGTTTCCTGTTTCATTTAAAAGGTTTTTTTTTTCCCCTTCTGCTGGTTTGTACTAGGAAAAAAAAATTCAGTGAATAGTAAATTTGCCAACAAATGCATTTTTCGGGACACTGAAACTATTTGCAAATTCAAGTCAAATTCGGCGAATAGTTTCTGCTAAAAATTTTTTTCAAAAATATCAGAACATTTTGTTTCGACATTTTCAAATTAAACGTTTTGACATTTCATTTAGAAAATGTCGTTATGAATTGACATTCCAAACGTTCAACCTAAACAAAGTTTATGTTTTGAGTTTCAGCGAGGGAGGAAAAAATCAGTGTCAGTTTGAAACTAATTTTTTTTTTTGGTTTGGCCCTTGAACCAAAAAATCAATTATTCATTCAGCCCTTCTGCTGATCTCAAAAGTTGTAAACCTCCTTTTAACAATTGTTTTTAAGCTAGCCAATTTTGATGTAATAAACAAAGATGAATTCTCCACTTGATGTCATAAGTGCAGTACCAGCTGGACTCTTAAGAAAATACATTTCTTTTTTATGTCCATGTCCTCAATAAATAAATTTTGTCAAAGCACAGTCACAGTAAAAGAAATAGGTAATTTTCTGCTATGGTCATAGAATCATAGAAATGTAGGGCTGGAAGGGACCTTGAGATGTCATCAAGCCCAGCCCCCTGAGCTGTGGCAGGACCAAGTAAACCTAGACCATGTCTGACAGGTGTTTGTCCAACTTGTTTTTAAAAGCTTTCAATGATGGGGACCTGACAATCTCTCTTGAAAACCTATTCCAGGGCTTAACTACCTTATACTGTAGATAGAAAGGTTTTCCTAATATCTAACCTAAATCTCTCTTGATATAGATTAAGCCCATTACTTCTTGACCTATCTTTAGTGGATGGCAACCTTGTGGACACTGCTGCTGCACAGTCACAGTTCATTAGTTTGTTTTGATCTAGTCCTCTTTGAAACAAGATTAGATCAAAGCAAACAAACTGTTAATCACTGCTCAAATTATATGGGGATTGGGGGGGGGGGGCTGGCCTTCCACTCTGACTCTCCCCCCCCCCCCCACCACCACCGCACAGACCCCTCTTCCCAGTGCAGAGCTCCTAAAAGAGGCAGGGCTGGGTCTCTGCCCCCTTCATCCCCCAGGTTCCCTGCAGTGACAGCTCTCATTCTCTGTCTTCTTTCCCCCTTGCAGGTTCCTGGGCCCTCTATATCCCAGTCCCTTCTACCCCCAACTTGCCTGACCCTCAACCCTTCTCTTCCACCAGCTTCGCCAGTCCGCCTCTCCCTTCTCTCTCCCCAGCCTATTGCTGGAGAAGGAATGGTCAGGATGGGCCAAGCAACTGGGCACTGCCCTTCACTTTCTGATTGGATGAAGAACCTTCTGTACAGTGGGATGTCTGAGCCTAGGATCTGCCAGTGAAGGGCTAAGCCTGGGCAGTAGGTCCCAGTACCAGGCGAGGGAGTAAGGGATCAGGGGAGCTAAGGAAAGAGGGCAGAGAACGGGAGCTGTCACCACAGGGTATTGGGGGAGGGGGAAAAGACACAGCCCTGCCCCTTCTAGGAGCTCCGCACTGGGGAGAGGGGGCTCTGTGGAGTGGGGGGACTCAGAGTGGAAGTTGGAGACACAAGGCTAGGGGAGGCAGATGGGGTTTTAGATGCAGACATGGAGCTAGGGGTGGCTGGGTGGGTGCAGAAGTCTGGAGGAGGGACAGGGAGGCAGGGGCAAGGGCAAAAGACAGACAGGAGTGTAGGCGCGATGAGGAGGAGGAGGATGCAGCTGATCAAAGACAACTAATGAACTGTTCATGTGGACCCTGCTGCCCTGTATCAACAGTTTGCTTTGATCTAGTCCCCTTTCAAAGAGGACTAGATCAAAACAAACTGGGTCCATATAAATGTCAAAATTCACAGTTCTGTGACAATGGTGACCACAGTAACAGCTTGATATCCCTATTATTAGAAAAATGAGGGGAATGAGTATATTACTGACCCCGAAGTGAAAATTGTGTGTCACACGCTGTATATATATTATTGTAAAATAACAAGATTGATACTGAAACAAAATCAGGATATTAAAAGTAATTATGTTTCGAATGTTTCATAATGTCTAATTATGTTTCAGGAAAGAGATCTTGGGGCACATCTTCACTACCCGCCGGATCGGCGGGTAGCGATCGATCTATTGGGGATCGATTTATCGCGTCTAGTGTAGACGCGATAAAATCGATCCCCGATTGCTCTGCCATCGACTCCGGAACTCCACCGCAGCGAGAGGCGGAAGCGGAGTCGGCAGGGGAGCGGCAGCGGTCGACTCGCCACCGTCCTCACAGCCAGGTAAGTCGACCTAAAATACGCAACTTCAGCTACGCGAATAGCTGAAGTTGCGTATCTTAGGTCGACCCCCACCCCCGTAGTGTAGACCTAGCCTTGGAGTCATCGTGGATAGTTCTCTGAAGACGTCCACACAGTGTGCAGCGGCAGTCAAAAAGGCAAGCAGGATATTAGGAATCATTAAAAAAGGGATAGAGAATAAGATGGAGAATATCTTATTGCCCTTATATAAATCCATGGTACACCCACATCTTGAATACCGCGTACAGATGTAGTCTCCTCACCTCAAAAAAGATATATTGGCATTAGAAAAGTTTCAGAGAAAGGCAACGAAAATGATTAGGGGTTTGGAATGGGTGCCATATGAGGAGAGATTAAAGAGGCTAGGACTTTTCAGCTTGGAAAAGAGGAGACTAAGGGGGGATATGATAGAGGTATATAAAATCATGAGTGGTGTGGAGAAAGCGAATAAGGAAAAGTTATTTACTTGTTCCCATAATATAAGAACTAGGAGCCACCAAATGAAATTAATGGTCAGCAGGTTTAAAACAAATAAAAGGAAGTTCTTCACACAGTGCAGTCAACCTGTGGAACTCCTTGCCTGAGGAGGTTGTGAAGGCTAGGACTATAACAGGGTTTAAAAGAGAACTAGATAAATTCATGGAGGTTAAGTCCATTAATGGCTATTAGCCAGGATGGGTAAGGAATGGTGTCCCTAGCCTCTGTTTGTCAGAGGGTGGAAATGGATTGCAGGAGAGAGATCACTTGATCATTACCTGTTAGGTTCACTCCCTCTGGGGCACCTGGCATTGGCCACTGTCAGAAAACAGGATAATAGGCTGGATGGACTTTTGGTCTGACCCAGTATGGCCATTCTTATGTTCTTATAATTAGGGATAAAACTTTGACCCAACATAAAAACATCTTAAATATATAGTTTAGGAGAATATCATACCTCTATGGAGTAGCTGTTCTACCTAATTTATCAAAGTACTAAATAAACTAGGAGACATTTTAGAGGTATTTATTTGGCCAGCGTGAAGCGCAGCTAAGATAACACAGCTGTTGGAAACAGCAATTCATGACTAAACTTGAACTCTAATTATCCAAAATTAAGTTATGGTGCCAAAATTAGATTTGTCTGAAATTCCACTATTCAAAAATTCCACAATTCCTAATTTTCAGATTTGTCCCCCTACCACTTCCAGTAATCAGCATTCATCTGTCTTTGCAACTTTAATTGCGCAACCGTCATATTGTACACCTCTACCCCGATATAACGCTGTCCTCGGGAGCCAAAAAATCTTACCGCATCAGAGGTGAAACTGCGTTATATCGAACTTGCTTTGATCCGCCAGAGCGCGCAGCCCCACCCACCCGGAGCGCTGCTTTACCGCGTTATATCCGAATTCGTGTTATATCGGGGTAGAGGTGTATTTATATGATATTTTGCATTTATACATGTAGGAATATTCGAAGTATTATTCATAGGATCTATATTTTTGTAAGGTGAAATTAAAAAAAAGAATTTGAATAATACTATTATTTGTATCATTGTAGCACCTGTGGCCTCCAGTGAAGAAATAGGACACTTGGCTTAGGCACTGAACAACAAAAAAATTGTCCCTGCCATAGAGCGCTAACAAGTTAACCAATTGTGTTTTCATTTTCTTTAAGTTTAATTATACTGTAGTATCAAAATTACCTTCATGTTCATTTAGAATAAATTCTATTGGATTACTAACACCCAATCCTGAGCACCGAGGTAGCAGCAGAATAACTTTAGCCTTTTGCAGTCTTTGATCTGTTGGTTCAATCTCAGTAAAATCCTCATGTAGTAGCTCAATATCTGAGAAACAAGGAAACACTGAAAGGTTAATATGAAAGTAATCCAGTAAAATTTTAATCTAATAAAGCAGAAAGCCCACTAGCATTATGCTAATTTCACCTAAAACAGTTTGTGTCTACCATTAAAATATGAATACTTATAATTAAAATCCAGTTACTTATCAGTTACTAGATTTTTCATATTGTATTATCTCTACAAGGGCCTGGATGGGCCCCCTGGAGGGAACAGTGTCATATAATTTAAGGCCAGAATAAACCACCAGCTCATCTAGTCTGACTGCCTTCCTACTACAGGCCACAAATACTACCCAGCACCCACACACTGAACCCAGCAACTGAAATTAGACCAAGGATTTACAGGTCTCAGGAGAACAAAGTATTATGTTTAACTTTAGGCAGAGAATAGGACGGACTGAGAGATACCAATGTCCGAGGCCCCTGCTATGGCAGCGACCTGATTAAGTGAGGTATACCCAGATGATCTTGGCAAGCAACCCAGGATGCAGAGGAAGGGGAAAACACCCTAAGGTCACTACCAATATGACCTGGGGGGAAATTCCATCCTAACCCCATATATGGTGATCAGTGAGATCTTGAGCACATGAGCAAGAACCAGCCAGCCAACCACCTGAGAGAGAGAATGCCTGGTACTATCTCAGGACACCAGCCCCTCCCCGTCCAGTATCCCATCTCCAGCTGTTGCCATCTCTGATGTTTCAGAGGAAGGAAAGAAACAAAAAAACACCCACGTAACACCAGCATACATTGGACGGGGGGAGGGAGGGGGGAGGGGGGATGTCCCTTCCTGATTCCTTGAGGTGAGCAGCTGAAGCCCTGAAGTGTGAGATTTAGGAACACCTAACAGGATCCTTGGGCCTGCTGGGTCCTGCTGCCCACAAGGAACCCCATCATATAATCGCACTCAAATTTGTCCAGCTCTCTCTCAGAACTAGTTTAGTTGTTTGCTCCCACAACTCCTATTGGGAAGCTGTTCTAATTTCCAGCCTGAAGTTGTGCATGGCCAGTTTATAGCCATTTGTTCTTGTGCCAACACTGTCCTTTAGCTTAAATAGCTCTTCACCCCCCATGATGTATATTTATAGAGAGTAATCATATCCCCTCTCAGCCTTTGCTTTGCTAGGCTAAACAAGCCAAGCTCTTCCAATCTCACCCCCATAAAATAGGCCCTCCATTCCCCGAATCATCCTAATAGCACTTCTTTGCACTTGTTCCAGTCTGAATTCATCTTTCATGATCCCATAGCTTTGGCTCTTTCTGCCCCAGTGGTGACCCTAGGACGTACCTCTCAAGAGTCCCACATTGTGCGAGACATCCCACATCTGGCCCTGATATTTAAGGTTGTTTCACGGAAAACAGGTGTGAAGGAAGCATGAGGCCCCACTCCTCATTCCACTCCTTTCCCTCTTCTCAGGCAGGGCAGCCAAACAGAAGGTGCCAACTCATCTCAAGTCATTAGTTGCCAGGCAAAAACTTTGGATCGTGGCAAAGGAGAGGGAAAAGAGGCACTAATGGCACCTGGGACTGTGAGGAGGGAGGGAACTGGCACCTGAAACAGTAGAGATGGACCGAGAGTGTGTGGGAGGGAAGAGGAGGAAGGAGGGAGTTGGAAGAAGGGACAGAGGGATAAAGATGAGGAGACAGGCAGGGAGCGAGAGTGGAGCAGGGGATAGAATCAGGACAAAGGGAGGGAGGAAGGCGAAAGAGAGAATGGAAATTCTCTCCTCATGTTGCCTGCTTTGATCATTATTTCAGTTGCATTTTGTGTTTCTTTGTATAGGCCACGAATAATCTCTGAATAGTTGACTAAGAATTGGGAATCTCATGCACGCCTGTACTTTCAAAAAAAAAAAAAAAATTAAACTGTGTTCAGGAAAATATTTGATGTCCTTCATTTCAAGGTGTGTTGTCCCTCAGTGCCCCTCCTTTCAGAGTCCAGGTGTTGAGAGGTATACCCTAGCAGGAAGCTCTGCCTTGCAAGATAGCTGTATGGGGGTGTTTAGGTTAAATCCCAGTAGGGATTTTTAGAGACATAGCTAAGATTGCCTCTCTGAGCAGAGCATATCAGGTGCAGCTGAACTCAGAAGCAGCAGATTGCAAAGACACTTACTACAGGCAGTACATCACATTGCAGCAAAGCTTTCAAGTGATCTCTAGGGGCAATGTTACTGGACTCTAAAAGGAATATCCTATCTCTCTTCTCCCTTAAGAAGGATGCTGTAAAATGAGGCTTGCGGGTACAAACTGGGAATTTTCTGTACAAGTCTCTCTCTCTCTCTCTCTCTCTCGCCACACAAAAAACACTCACTACTTATTTGCCAAATAAAATACTTGATAAATTGGTGAAGTGTGGGATTTACTAGACTTGTCACTTAATTTCACAGTTGCAGCAACAGAATTTTTCATGGGATTATGACAGAACATGTGAACCTCTAACTGACTTCACTCCTTAAAAAAAAAAAAAAAAAAACACAAAACAAAACAAAAAACAATGCAAATATTTACCTAACCCTGCCCTGATGGTGCATGAATGAGAACACTGGCAGACATTTTTAAATATCTGAAGGATTTTTTTAAATACATATTGTACCAGAAACATTTTAAAAACATTTTTGCTCAAATAAAGAGTAAGCTTTAAAATGTGGCAGAATTACCTGGGATCTGGAAATAACTGTATTATTAAATAAATGTTTAACACATACTTCCACATTCCATGCGTGTGAATAGTTCCTTCAGTTCAACTTCCTTTGCCTGCGATTTTACACCACATACAAAAACTTTGGATGTGCTCTGATTTGACAACACTGACATGTGGGCAGCAGTCAGCCGTGAACCTATATGAGCTACTATGATGTCATCATCCATGTTCAATAAGGCCTTCACAGAATGTACAGCAAGGCTGCGAGACTTATCCTAAAAGATAATACATGATGCCAGTTAAATAATTAAATATGGCTAATTAATAATTGGTAGATTTAGGTTGTTGAATTTTAGCTTCAGATTAATTTGGTTACTCCAAGTACTGTACTCTTTCCAACTAGACAAGTGAGTTCAGTTTCTCTTACCAATGAGTGGGGAAAGAAAAACAAATCTTTATGAAGTCTGGATGGCTTAGATTTAAATATTAAAATACAAACCTCACTGATTCTAAATTTAAAAAATTATAGAATATCATTCCAACTCCAACACACACAAAAAGGTTGAGCTGTCAGTGGGCACAGAAGAACGGGAGAAACAGATAGGTATGTCTGTCATCCCTGGCAAGGGGGAACTCAATAACCATTTCAAATGCCTGAAGTCAGGCTGCTACATCAAGTTTACAATGACAAAGAAAAATGCAAGGATGTTCACATGGCTGTCTTATGCAGTTCTAGGGGGGAAATTCTCTCTCACACAGTCAAATGCTAGAGCTATGAAGTAAACCTTGATTGAAAGGGAACATAAGCTCTTGGCAACAAAGCTTCCTTGTACAGATTTGAACCCAAAGCGACTGCAAAGCCTCACAAGACCTCCAAAAAGAAAAAACGGATTATCTCAAAATTAGAGGTTGGTGGGCAAAGATGTACACTCTCATCAAGATCAACCGTTACCTCTTCCAATTTGAGGTTGGGGCATACCTCTTTTACTGTGGAAAAGGACATGTTTTATTGATATGTCCCTGGAGGCAAATGGAACCTTGTTTTCTGATGACTCTGGGAAATAGTCCTGTTCAGCCAATATGCCTCTTTTATCAATGATCTGGGATGACATTAGAATCCTCTTTCAACCTTGATTATCAGTGCAATGCCCACTAAGATTCCCCTTTCATAGGTGAATCCTCACATCACTAGTGTATACTGATGGCCTAGTATAGATAAAGCTAGAATGAAGACAGGTAGAGAACATGTTACAAGTCTTGTGCTGAATTTGACTGTGACAAATAATTTTAAATAAACCTATACAGTAGCTTTGCAGGAGGTGAAGAAGAGTTTCATTGCCTCCATCATAGCATCTGCAAAGTTCTAATGAGCAGATCTGTTCTGGATGTTGAACAACTTGGTTAATCTGCATCATATCAATAATAGAGATGAGTTTTTCCCAGTAGGAGTTATTTTGCTGATAAAATCATTTAGATTAGGATCATGCTATTGGATACTGTTGTAGGAGGACCATGTGTCAGGGGACTCGGACTGTTACTAGAGTTGAACGTCAGTATCTTCTTTAGATAGGGCAGTCTTATTCTGTAGCTGTCTTACTTAATATGCATATGGGGCCTTTACGAGTGTTACAAATAAGGGGCCAAGATTTTCAAAAGTGACTATTGAGCAGCCCTTTCAAGGTTCTCAAGCTGTGCATTCAAAGTCACTCATCACTTTTGAAAATCTTGACTATAGGTCATGTTGTCTTCAGTACTAAGGCCTTAGGTGCTGTGGAGAGCAAGGAAAAAGTCCCCCACATTCATCTGGTCATGTGGACTTTTATAAAGTGCTTATTGCTATTTGAAACAAAAAAGCTGATTTAGTGTAGGAACAGGATAGCAGCAGAGCTGTTGTATAGGGGCCTCACACCATCTGTGTACTATGGTGGGGATCTCTGCACCAGCTTTGAATAGGCTGGCATGGAGGTGATGCTGAGGGCAAGCCAGGGGAAAAGTCACTGGAGTTTCTGAAGCTTCAGTGGCTGAGAACTCCTATGCATGCAGCATGGAGAGGGAGTGGCCGCTATTTCAGCCTAGGGAAGTAATTGCAGTAGAAATGTCAAACATTCAGGTGCCATTACTTATCAACTAGAGAATTTGTTTTCAAAAGTGATATAGGAGCTTAAATCCTATTTTCAAAGACAAAAGGTCCTATGTCTCATTTAGATATGGGACTCTTATACTTTTGAAAATTTTACCCATAGTCTCTATTTAAAAAAAGTTTTATAATAAAAAAAATCTCAACTCTGACGTCATACTGATTGCATTGGAGCTATCACGTTGAGTCACATTTGCAGTTGAGAATAGTAATACTTTCGGAAGCAACAAGGGCCAGGTTCAATATCTAGCATTTCCTCTTAACAATACAAAACAGACCCGGGTCAAGCCCCCACCCAGTATTTTGGGAAAACTTACTATCACCCCAGAAACCTCCAAGAGGCAATACTTCCCCATTCGCAAACACTGAGTCTGTGTATAACAAAAGAACTTTTAATAAAAGGGAATGGATCCAAGCATTCATTTGGGACAACACCACACACACATTCAAAAGCATGCAGCCATAAGCAAAAACCTGCCCTCACTGCATGTTGGGCAGTTCTTTGCCTCAGTTTCCCACCTGGCAGTGGGAAAATATGATAAATGAATGTCTCTTTAACACACCACTCCTCTCTCCCTCTGCTACACCCCATTCACAGTTGGCTGTCCTTTGTTAGTGAAGACCCAGAGCTTGTTGAGGTGTTCAGAAAGGAAGGGGGGGAGCAATGTCTCTATGGTCACTTGGTGCCTCTGCAACTGGCTGTTTGCCACTGCATCCACTGCTTTTCTCTGCTGCTGATCCTGTGCTGCTGCTGCTGCTTTTCTTTGCTGTGTTGGTTGCATGCTGTCACTATTGGACACTCAATGCCACTTCTGCGATACCATGTTCTGAGGTTCTACCACATAACACAGGTCTTTAGTGATTTCACTGGGTAGCAGGGAGCCTCACTGCCAGTACAGTCCTGCATCGTCTTTCCTTTCATCACTGTCCCTAACCCCTAGACCTTCTCAGGGTCTCACCTCATTGAACAGAAACAATGACTCACAAGTGAGTCTCATTAGCTCCGCCTTTAAACACTAGAGGGGGGTGGTCAAATGGTGTTTAGGACTTTTTGGACAGAGTACACACCACCAAGTAGGACCACCTGTCCCCACCCCCATCTCTTCCACTGAGATTTGGCATTCCTACCCCCTGCACGGTGAGTAAGGTTCAGTTTAGGGTGACCTCCTCAATCAGGGCAAGCTAATTACAGTTCTGCTGCCCTTTACTTACACAATAAGGATAACATTTAATTACCTCTGCACTCATTACTGAAATGATCCATAACCTAACACCAGACAAAAGTGATACTTTGGCAAAGCAGCTCCATCATGCTGCATACCTAGGCAGAGTAGGCATGTCTATACAAACACAGTCTGTTCCTGAAGTCTTTTCCCCCAGCTCAGCACCAGATGTCAGGGGAGAGCTCGTTCAGACCCTGCTTACTAGGAAGTTTGCAGAAAGTGCTAGTGCCTGGTTATTTATTTAGTCATAAAAATAATTAAAACCATGCAATGTCTGAACAGACAATAATGCACAACATTAGCTTAGTTTGCAGATCAGATTATGAGACCCACTCCAGACTTATTTTGCTGACCTGTAAGATGAGTTTGTAACCTGTGAAAAGTTCCAGGTTAAGTATTTCTTCTTTGAGAGAGGCAGGAAAAACCAGTACATCATGGCAGTGCTTGTCCAGACAATAAGTATAACCTTCAAAATCTGACACAGATTCAACTTTTGTGAATCCCTCTTTTTTCAATTCTTTGTAAATGTCTTCAAGGCTGTTAACATATAACATTCATAACTCATAGTAATCCTGACCACTGAACATACAATGTTAATAACTAAAAATTCACTTGGAACATCTGGATTTTTGCCATAAAAAGTATCATAAAAACAGAACTCAGAGTTAGGATTTGACATTTCATACCAAATTTACTGCTGGTGTAAACAGCTGCAGTTCAGCTGACTACAATGGACTCGCATCCATTTACACCACCAGTGAATTTGTTGCTTATTCTCTGAATCACCCTCTTGAGGAAAGGTAATGCATGAATGAACATTAAGCAATTTGTAATTAATACCCAAGGTACAGTCATGCAGGTTAAGTGTCATGCAGAAAAATCTTGCATTTTTTTTAATCTACTATTGTTTATATAGTGCCATAAATTTACACTGTACATCGTAAACAGAGGGCCCAACATGACAATCTTTAGTCAGGTCAACTAACATGTACCCGGGTTGAATACAAGGTGCAGAATCATGTTCAGAGTAAGACACGTTCTCTGCCCTGAAGCTATCCTAAAATAGACAAGACAGAACATTTTAGGTAAGGAAGGTTATGAAGAAATTACTGGTAAGGAAAACAAGATGTGACAATGATGTCAAGTTATCCATCCTATCAGTTCTTTTAGTACTGTAATAAATACTAAAACTAGTATTATTTACTGACATATACATAAAGAAGCATCTAAAGGAACACTGTCAACTAGCAAAACAATTTTTAAAAAATCAATTAAAAGTAGTTCTATGTACTATATGTCACTCCCAGAACCCTCTACCAATTTTTGCAGTTTTAAAATAACATTTCTGGTTTTGATATTTTTTTCTCCACTTTGTTGCTATGTTCAAGACACAAAAACAAATTGGGGAAACTGACTATGCAGGGGAAACAGTATGGATGACTACATGCAAAAGGTACGTCTGTACTACAGCTGGGAGAGTGCTGAGCACATGCAGACAGACATGCTAGCTCTGCTCAAGATAGCATACTAAAAATAGCAGTGTAGTCAGGGTAGCACGGGCAGCAGCTTGGGCTAGCTGCCTGAGTAAAAACCCACGCAGAACCCCTGAGTACATATTCAGGCACCAACCGTGGCTATATCTTAATTTTTAGTGCAATAGCTGTAGCAGAGCTAGCACGTCTGACTACCCACACTGGAACGCGGCCTTCCAGCACAGTGCAGATACACTCAAGGTGTTGTCCAATTCATCAAGTAAATTGGAAAAAAAACAATAGAAAATATGTTTTTCCTCTAGCATCTTGTCAGTTATAAGTAACACCTAAGATTACTGTATCACTAGTATGTTAAAAAAATGGCAGATGGAAGTGTGATGTTTAGGTCAATTGGGTCTGTTAAATAAACGTTTATTACAAGAAACCCATGCCTTATAAGATAATACTGTACTGTGCAAAATTTTAAAACAAATTCATAGAAGGGCAATATACAATTTAATATGTATATTTCTAAAATGTTAATTTTACAGATCTTACCTGCTTTTTAATGTATTTATCCAAGCATACAAAGGTAAAGCAGAAGCTCTTTGTTCCTGTTTCCGTAGAGTTTCTGGTAGAATATATTCAATTGAAAGAGCATCATGTTTGATTCGACATCTTGCTAGAGCAGCAGCCAATTTGGTCTTAAAACTACAAGTATAAAATGATAGCTTTACCCAGATTAGAAGATTTTAGTTCATTATGATGATGTAACATTTATACTGCAGTAATGCCCAGAGGCCACAATCACGAGTGTGGTCCCATTTTGCAGGACACTGTACAAAAATGTAGTATGAAACAGTCCCTGCCCCAAGGAGCTTGCAGTCTAAGCCAACATGCATAGCTGAGACTATATTACTTAAGCATACAACTGACTCAAATTGAGCCATGTCTCACCCCGACCTCCTGAATTTCAGCTTCTATTTTAAAAAAGAAAGGAAGTGTGTAGCTGTTAAGGTGAAAAGGGGAAAACCCTGAAAAACAGGATGCACTTGTAACCAAAGGCAATGAAATCTGAATTTCCAAGGAGCCTGAAACAATAGTTTTTAAGAAGTGTTAACTGCCTCGTTCATAAACGGTGTGTTAACTCTAATGCCCAATGATGACAATTTAAACATCAGAATTGTTAGCTATTTCATGGCTGATCAAAGCACACAAAAAAGTAGAGGGACTAACATATTGTGAGTGATATTTTGGTGTCACAAGTGGATGGTACTTGGAAGTGTACCAGCATTTCTCCCCACCGTCTGATCTGTGGAACCAAAACACCAGATAGGAGGAATGGAGCCCAGCAGAGCATCTGAGTTCCAAAAAGGGGAGAACCAAACCCAGAGTCCAACAGAACTATGCATGTATCTGAACCCTACTCATGTGGGATAGGCGGTTCCAAAGCTTGAGGAACACAGTCTAGCATGTATCATATTTTGAATATCTGCACAATCTACTTTGTGCAGCATCTCATTTGGCCATCTAAACTTGAAACATGGCTCATTGATGAAGCCTGAATTCGTCTTGGCTTATGGGGGTATGTCTATACTCAATTAAAAACACCCATAGTTGCCCTGTGTCAGCTGACTCAAATTCATGAGGCACAGACTACAGAGCTGTTTAACTGCAGTGTAAACGTTCAGGCTCAGGTTGGAGCTTGGGCTCTGGGACCTTAACCCCTGATGGGGTCAGCCCAGCCCAAGTCTGAACATCTACACCACGATTAAACAACCTGGTAGTCCAAGCCCCATGAGCCTGAGTCAGCTGACACAGGCCAGCCGCAGGTGTTTTTAACTGCAGTGTAGACATATCCTTAAGGGCCTAGTATCCCATACACTATCCAGATGCTGACCCACATGTCCACTATGCCAATTATGCGAGCCTTCATTGACCATTTGTTAAATCTTCAACCCACCACCTTCACGCTTTCTCCTATGTCACCCTTCATACATAGGAGCTCCTATAAACATTGACCTTTTTCAAAACTCTCCTTAAAACTCTGCAATACCACAATGCCTACAAAAAATAGACAATAATTATGAATCTGGTGTGCTGCAATCACTGCTTTTCATGATGACCAGTTTTGTCTCATTGTTACCATACTTTTCCACTATTTGTTACATCAACCTGTGGTCTCGTCTTATACTTAGTAAGCTCTTTTGACCAGCCAGGACAGATTTTGTTGTATTTGAAGTCTGTGGTTGAGCAGGGAATTGGGTCTCCAGAGTCCCAGGCTAGCACTCTAAACAGTACTTTAGACCATCCTTCTTCCCAATTGTTGGGGTGGCAATAATGAGTTGGAGAAGAAAAATAATACTTTAAACATTCTACTTCTCCAAAGTGCCACACTTCCATTCAGCGGCAATCAATGGCACTTTCAGCCACTTTTAACCTACCACCTATTGTAAAAGCCAACACTAGATGTTCAGCAGGCTTTTTTAATGGAGATATTGTGTTGAAAGAAAGCGGTAGGGTTACATACATCTTTTCTCAACTTTCAGTATATATGCTAAGTTTTTCTAACCTTTACTGTTGTTTAAGGGTTCTTGGAATATTTGAAGCTTTACTCTCGCTTTCCCATCCCCCAGAAGCCCAAGACTTGAATTTGAATAGTATTATTCTTCCAAGCTTTATAACCAAACAGCTACTTTCAACTGATATTCTTTCACCAAAAAGAATGTTGAATATTGCATGGTTTTCACTATGGGGGCCCAACAACCATCCTACGCTTCCCATATTACTAAATGGGAGTGGAGTCCTGATTCGATGGAAGGAGTTTCAAATATGGAAAAGCGTGACAACCACTGGACTGTTGAATAGCTCCCAATTTAGCTTTTAAACCAAAAGGAATAAGAAACGGTTACTGACCTTTCATAACTGTTGTTGTTGTTCGACGTGCGCGCCAGATGCACATTTGCCAGAGATTTTTTTCCCTCAGTGGTACCCATAGGGCCGGCTCTAGCACCCTCTGGAACCACGCGCATATGCACCGCTATAAGAGACAACATCAGCCCCCACACACGCTAAGTTCCTTCTTGCCAGTAACTCTGAGAGGGGTAGGAGGGTGGATCATGGAATGGACATGAGCAACACAGACGGCACTAGTGTCAGTCCTACATATGCCACTGAGGGAAAAATCTGCAGCAACTGTGCACATGGGGTGCACATTCCTAGCATGGAATGGACATGAGCAAGCACTCGAAGAAGAAATGTAGCTGAAAAGGCCACAGACTGGTGTAGAAAGGGCAGAGGGGTTTCTTGGGGACAGGAAGGGGAAAGATAATCCAGGATATTTTAAAGAGCAAAATCTATTTGACTATATTAATATTATGTAAGTAATTGAGAAAACCTTTTATCTACTATTTTCTTTTGCGCTTTTAGTAGGAACTACTTTTCACAGTGAAAGGATGTTGTACAAATCCTTACAAAATTAATCAGGTGGCTGAAGGCATTCATTTATCTTTTTCAGAAAACTAGAAACAGGAAACTTTTTTATAATGGAAATGCTTCCTCAGTCAGAAGCATAGTATAATTTAGCTCTGAATTTGTGAGGAACATCACAAAATTATATTTGGGCAATCTTTGGCATTTTTGCTTTGTTCACTCAGGCTCATATCCTCACCACATTCTGGCTCACAGGCCCAATAGGCAACAGAACTAGAGTCAAACAGGCTGCTGCATGCATTTTCTAGCATGTCATGTAACTGCTCTGCAGGGGCTCAATCAGCAGCAGTGCAGAAAATGTTTTGGGCATGCTCAGGGGCCTGGCCAACTGATTTGTGAAACATACCCTACATAGAAGCCATACAACAGATGCAATAGCAACTGCAAAATAGTTTTACTATACCTCTGTAGTTTAGAAAAGCAGGAAGGAAGATTCCTGATAATTCCCATCCCCAGCCCCTGTACACAAACCCTGGTTAATCAGGATTTGAACAGAAAGGAGGATTTAAGCTTACCATCATGGCTGAGGAATGGTCTTTTTGTCTCTAAAGTACTTAGAATATATTTCAACTGGAGCTGGAAGATATAATTTCCAGTTCAAGTAGACATATCCATCCAAGCTCTATGTACCAAGGGTCTTGGACAGGACTGTACTCAGGGCAGCTAGCCCATCCAACTGCTTGTGCCAGTGCAGCTACACTTCTATTTTTAGCATGCTACCGTGATCTTAACTAGCAGAAATTACAAGCCAGAAATTACATCTTCCAGCTCCAGTGCAAAGATACCTTTACTGTCCTCAAGGGGTGCCTGACACAGATCTGTTCAGCAACTCGTCAGGCTGATCTAAATTCAATAGTGAGACCATATTCTCCCACGAATCCAGTGGCTTTGCTAAGTAAATATACTGCAGAGGGAAAGATTTGGCATTACTTTAAATATGAGACTTATCAGATTCTTTGTTCGATGTCTTATGAAAGTACCTCTAAAATAACCTAGAGGAAGTACGGTAGAGCAGAATGCAAGGCTGTTAGGTGTTTTACAGAGATTCCTTGGTTCTTTACCACACCATGCTCATCTTTCTGAATCTGTTTATTGAATGATGGAGTAATGTTTTTTTCATATTGACTTGGTCTGAGGTTTTCTGGATTTTTCCATCAGATACGCAACAGAAATAAGGCACTACATTTTTACTTCAAAAGTATTCCATCAGCAGTTTTGACTAAATACAAGTTTAATCTTAGCTTTAGGAATCCAGAAGTTTCTCTTTGAAACCAAATCATCTTTAAAGAAGCTCACTATGGCTTGAGATGAAAACAGATGTTTACAATATTTGCAATTTTAAAAACCTATTATAGGTTATATAAGTCTATATTTATGCCCACTTAGAAAATTACCTATAACATATACCTGTATAGATAACGTTCTACATCTCTGACTTCTGGTATTGATTCCTCTTCATCAGAAATCTGTCGGGCTTGAAACTTTCGATCTTGGAGGTCATACAACATTACAACTATTAAGCTGGTCAATTCATCTGGCTGCAACAGGAAAATAACCATTTAGAGAAATGGAAACAAAACAGGTCCCAATAATACAAAGAGATCCATCTCCAGACCCTTACACTTACAGAAGAACTATGTCTTCATTAGGACTACACATAAGAGTCGACGTAGGTAGTTCCTTTAGAGAGATTGCTATGTATTATGGAGACTTATTTTGAATGAAAAATAGGTAGAGACATGATTTTAAGTGCCTACCTTTTCATCAATAAGACAGACTTTTATTAACTATTTTTATTGAAACACCCAAACTTTTAGTTCTCCAAGGTGAAGAAAAAAAATGGTTACATTTCTTTCCTTTAGAGTTTACAATTATAATTTCCCCCTCACCCTCCAACTATATTGTTCTCTTTTGCAGCAGATTGCAGATATATTAGAACAATATTCCTCTTCATCCGACTAGTAACAGAAAAGTTACAGTAGGCAGCTTTAAATGTTAAGTTGTTGACAAAAGTGTTCAAATTTTCCTGTTCATAAAGATCATTTTAGAAGTAGAATTTGACTGTTGTACAGTCAGTAATATTCAAGGTAAGAGAAGCACACAATACCTTTTTAATAGCTTTTCATTTTATTGCATAACATTCAAAGTGTAAGATTTTTTTAAAAAATCAGTATTGATTCAACCACTGCTACCACAGAAAAATTATTTCCATGCTGTCCTCAGCATTCTTATTAGAAATTTTCCACAACTGACACTAATTCAAAATCTTGTTGGAATTAGCAGGGGCATCCAGGACTGAATGAGCATGAATAGATTACTTTCAGCCCTAGAGGTTTTCTCATCAGGTAAGAGTTGAGGCTCATTCTCAGGGTAGGGTGGCACTACTGCTGCCAAGCTGTATCTGTTGTATGAACTTCAATCCCCTAAACTGTAAATCTAATACCATTCATGTGCAATACATTCACACATAAGTTAAAGAGGAAGGTAAGAAATGGTATTTTTATATATATAGGTATAAGTATACAAAGTATGTTAACTAGAAAAAAAGGAATTGATCCTCACAATAAACCCATGAATTAGGGAAATATCTTTATTTTACTAATCGGCAGACTGAAGTGCAAAGATATTAAGTAGCCACGGTTTTCCAAACTTGGATATCTGAAGTCAGCCACCTAAAATCCATATTTAGGCACCTACATAAGTGTCCTGACTTTCAAAGGTGCACAGTACTGTAAGATCGGTTTGAAGTCATTAAGTCAATGAGATATGGAGATGCTTACCCCTTATTTAAGTGCCTAAATTTGGCTTTAGGTGATATTATGCTAAAATTTTCAAACCTGGGCACTTAAGTCTCCTGTCTTAACCACAATACTAACTTTGCTCCTTTAAAGTTCAGCTTAGCTTATTTAATACCCAGCATTGAGAACGTGAAGGTTTAGGTTTTGTAAAGTATACAGCTTTTAATACAAAACTATAGACAAAGTTATTGATAACTTTATGAAATATTATGATAAAAAGCTAACCTCTCCAAGCAGCTTTCATTATTTCTTTGAATATAGATCATGAAATCTTAGAAATATAGGATTGGAATGGACCTCAAATGGTCATCTATTGCATCCCTGCCCGCCCACATGTCACACAAAACCAGGATTAAATATACCTAGACCTAAAAATGCAATGAGGAAAATTTCATCTGGGGGAGAGGGGAGCAGAGAACCATCATTGAGGAGAAGGTTACTCACCTTGTGCACTAACTGAGGTTCTTCTAGATGGTTGTCCCTGTGGGTTCTCCACTTTAGGTGTCTTAGTGCCCTGCACTTGTAATTCTGAGATCTGTAGTATCAGTGCCCAGGTTGGCCGCACATGTGTAGCAGCTGCCTTGCACCGCTGCGAGTGTCTACCTAGTGTGCGCAGCCAACCCTCCCCCAGGTTCTTCTCTACCTCCTGAGGTTCAGTGTGAAACTCCAAAGTCAGGTAGTGGAGCACCCACAGGGACAACCATCTCAAAGAACCTCTGTTACTGCACAAGTTGAGTAACCTTCTCTTCTTCGAGGAGTGTCCCTGTGGGTGCCCCACTTTAGGTGACCGTTGAGCAGTGCCCCTCAGTGGAGGGGAGGGGCTTCAGAGTTGGTTTATGTACACTGGATAGCACTGAGAGTCCAAACTGAATGTCTACAGTTGATTGTTCTAAAGCATAGTGTTTAGTAAAGGTATGGACTGATGCCCATGTAGCTGCTTTACAAATGTCTGTGATGGGCACATTGTTGAGAAAGGCCACAGTGTCGACATTGCTCTGGTGGAGTGTGCGTAAACTCCGGAGGGAGCAGGCAGATTGTTGTTTTGGTAACACAACTGGATACATGGCGATATCCATTTGGATAGTCTTTGTTTGGCTGTAGTTTGACCCTTTGATCGTTCTGTTGTGGAGGTCTTGTGAAGGACATGACTCAGTAATGGGATTGGAGGGAAGGCATACAGCAGTGGAGCGTCCCATTTCAGAAGGAAGGCGTCGCCCTGGGAGTTGTGTCCCACTCTGGCCCGAGAGCAGTACTGAAGACACTTGGCATTGTGGGCAGTAGCAGAAAGGTCTACGGTGGGGAATCCCTATTGTTTGAATATGGCTTTGAGGATTTCGGGATACATCTCCCACTCGTGGGTTTGGGAGAAGTCTCTGATTAGTTGATCTACTGTTGCATTCTGGCGACCGGGCAAATAGGATGCCAGAATGTCTATGCTGTTGGTGATGCACCATTGCCAGAGATGAACGATTTCTGAACAGAGGGGATATGATCGAGCCCCCCTTGGCAGTTTATATAAAACATGGTTGTTAGATTGTAAAAATTCTCATGGACAGTCTTGTTGTGAATTAGAGGAAGAAAGTGCTGGCAAGCATTTCAGACTGTCCTTAGCTCCAGTAAGTTTATGTGGAGATTGGATTCTGCTAGGGACCAGTGACCCTGGATGGTATTGTCGCGTAAGTGTGCCCCCCAACCCAGGAGGGAAGCGTCTGTGGTGATCGTCACAGATAGAACTTTTTGTAGGAAGGGAACACCTGAGCAGGTGTTGGTAGGGTGTGTCCCCATACGAGCAAGTGCTTTACTCTGCGAGGCATCATGAGATGTCTGTTGAGGGAGTGTCTGTGCAGACTATAGACAGTGAGGAGACAGGCCTGTAAACATCTCATGTGGAGCCTGGCATATTTTACAACAAACGTTGTAGCGCCATGTGCCCCAAAACTTGTAAGCACATTCTGGCGGACGTTTGTGGGCTGCCCCTAACTGTTGTAATTAGATTGGTTAAAGTGAGGAAGCGTTGGGGTAATCTCGCTGTCACCTTGAGATTGCCCCTATAAACTCCAAATGTTGGGTAGGTATCGTAGTGGACTTCTGAAGATTTATTTGTAAGCCCAAGGCCATAAAAAGGGTTATTGTTGTGTAAGTGGCATTGGTTGCTGCCTGTTGCATTGGTGCCTTTAGAAGACAGTCATCTAAACATGGAAAGATCATCACCTTCTGCCTGTGGAGGTGAGCAGTCATGTCAGCAAGAACTTTGGAAAAGACCCTTGGGCCGGTGAAAAGGCGAAAGGAAGCACTCTTTATTGGAAATGTTGTTTCTCTAGGGTGAAGTGCAGGAATCGTCTGTGTGCCAGATGGATGGTAACATGAAAGTAAGTGTCTTGTAGGTCGAGGGCCGAGAGTCAATCTCCTTTCTCCAATGTCAGAATTATTGTGGATAGAGTCACCATTTTGAAATGTTGTGTTTTCATGAACTTGTTGAGTTTCCATAAATCCATTATGGGCCTCCACTCTCCCCAATTTTTTTCTGAGTGAGAAAATAATGGAAATAAAATCCTCTCCCGCCCTGTGTTGAACTGGTACAGGTTCCACAGCACCTAACTGTAGATGGTTTATTTCCTGTTGTAACATGTGCTTGTGAGAGGGGTCCCTGAGGAGGGACGGGGAAGGGGAATGGATAGGTGGAATAGAAATAAAGGGGATGGAGTAACCCTTTCCAGATAATTTCCAGAACCCATTTGTCTGTAGAGATGGTCTTCCAGACTGGGTAATATGGTGACAAAATGTAAATCCCGAATTAGGGAATGTGAGGTTCTCGTGTCCTCAACCAACACTCAAAATGTTTGCCTGGAAGTAGATGGTTGAGACATGGACGGATGATCTTGGGGCTGCCGGTGTCTAGACTGACGTTGTTTGCGGCATTGGTCATAGTGTCATTGGGGTTGAGTATATTGGCCAGTGCGGAATCGTGGGTTGTAAAATCTACCCTGTTTCTTTTTATTTGAAGGGACAAATTCCAAGTTTCTTCAAGGTCGCCTGTGAGTCCTTCAAGATGCGCAAGGACGCGTTGGTGTTGTCCGCAAACAGTTTTTGGCCTTCAAAAGGTAAGTCCTCGATTGTGGCTTGAACTTCCCTCGGAAACCCGGACAGATCATAGAATCATAGACTTTAAGGTCAGAAGGGACCATTATGATCTCCTAGTCTGACCTCCTGCACAATGCAGGCCACAGAATCTCACCCACCCACTCCTGTATCAAACCTGAGTCTGAGCCATTGAAGTCCTCAAATCATGGTTTAAAGACTTCAAGGTGCAGAGAATCTTCCAGCAAGTGACCCGTGCCCCACGCTACAGAGGAAGGCGAAAAACCCTCAGGGCTTCTGCCAATCTGCCCTGGAGGAAAATTCCTTCCCGACCCCAAATATGGCGATCAGCTAAATCCTGAGCATGTGGGCAAGACTCACCAGCCAGATACCCGGGAAAGAATTCTCTGTAGTAACTCAGATCCCACCCCATCTAACATCCCATCACAAGCCATTGGGCATATTTACCGCTAGTAGTCAAAGACGAATTAATTGCCAAAATTAGGCTATCCCATTATACCATCCCCTCCATAAACTTATCAAGCTTAGTCTTCAAGCCAGAGATGTAGCCAGGAAGCACAATGCCTAACAACGGATGTAGCAATCAAATATGTCTGCAGAATTGAGAGAAGCCTGGAGGGCCATTCTGGCGATGAGGGAACCCTCCGCGATGGCTTCAAGATTGAGCTTGATCAATTTTTGGAGGGGACAGTATGATGAGACTGCATGTGGCCCATCTGTGACTGCTAATAGCAAATATCCCCAACGGCCAGCGACGGGATTCTAGAGGGGGAGGGATTGAGTTACTGCAGTGAATTCTTTCCCAGGTGTGTCTCTGGTGAATCTTGCCAACACGCTCAGGGTCCAGATGATCATCATATTTGGGGTCAGGAAGGAATTTCCCCCCAGGGCACAGGGCAGGGCATAGACCCCGGGGTACAGGGGGTTCGTCTTCCTCTGCAGCATGGAGTACAGGTTACTTGTAGGTTTCAACTAGAGTAAATGGTGGATTCTCTAACTTGAGGTCTTCAGTAACTCAGCCAGAGGTTATGGATCTATTACAGGGGTCGGTGGGTGATGTTTTCTGGCCTGCAACATGGAGGAGGTCAGACATGATGATCCTTTCAGGCCTTTAAGTCTATGAGGGCTAAAGGAGACTTTTAGCCACCCTCCTGGTCCTGGGCTGCTTTGGGGACTGGAGAAGCTCCTGAAGTAACAGGCAGCCCTGGTGGCCTGTGTAAGTCACAGCAGCCTCCTCAGGCTGCCATATGGGCTGCTGCACTGTTGAAATCTCTGCAGCACTGCATGCTGCAGCCACACCTTACATACGCTGCTCCGTCCCTACACATCACAGCTTGAGTTGGGGTGCACCAAAGACAGTCTATGGCTGTCTTCCGCTGTCCTCTGTGCTCCAGGGAAATCCTCCCCTGGTTAAATACAGGATTTTATGGCCTCTTTAAATTGCTCTGCCCTTATATTTTGCAAAAAGAGGCCACAACAAGGATAGAAATGTCACCCTGAGTCCTCATCTCTAAATATTGCCTTTCCAGAAAAGGGTTGAACTTGACTGAAGTAACAACATGAGGGAAGTTTCTGCTGAGCCTCCCCCTTCTTGAGGAGAAAACAGAAGACTCCAGAATTTCTTTAGCTGTCAGAATTTCCACGCCATGAGTGCTACTAAATTAATTCAAAATTAAGAGTATAAGCAGCTTTAGAACATTTTCAAACTTCTTAGTTTAAGTATTCCCTTTAACATTCTGGCTATTCAAAGTTGTCAACCCCTTACAAAGCATGGCTACAAATGGCAAGCATAAACGGCTGAATCTTCAGTATGAGTAGGTTCCTTTGTACAACTATTTTTCTGTTGTATGCATTTATAATTCCCCTCTCCTCTCCCTCTCCCCACAGCTGAAAATTTAGCCCGGCGATTTAACAGGTCTAAATTGTATAAAGCTTCAAAAGGTAAAATAAGATTTAAAAGTACTTCAGTATCCTTCAGAATGAAAAAGATACTAGATACATATAATAATGAACTGCACTATAAAGTAGCTTACTTTCTAACAAAGTTACTTACTATTGACTGACATGGGTAAAAACAGCTATCTAACAATATATTTTCAAGTAGATCTTGATCTGCAAGAGAAGAAAATACTGGTTAAATACATTTGTACAATACTGTAAAGTTTGTAGTGTAAGTCAATAAAATTCATAACCAAGGCAAAGATTGAAAAATAAATTAATAGTTTAAAGACATAGTAAATTGTTAAAATCTTCTGATATTGCTTAAAGTACAAATTTAACTACAAAAAGTAAAATATCAAGGAAGCTGAATTCAGATCTGCCATTCATGTCAGAGTATTATAAGTTCAGTGCAAAACATTTTAAAATGTACATTAGGTTTCTTAAATGCTTAAATTTATAAATATATGAAAGTTACATAGGTGTCTTGATCCCTCAAGTATTTCAATATAGCTATTTCTACTTTATAGACTTCCCAATAGTGGCTCCTTAAGGCAAAGATGCCTGTCTGCCATATACACTATTAGTTATAGAAGTGGGGATGGCTTAAGTTCTTTCCCCCTTCTGGAGACATACGGTGAAATCCCGGCCCCACTGAAGTCAATGGCAAAATTGACATAATTGGCAACAATGGGGCCAGAATTTCACTCATCTTCTGAGGAACCCTGGAAATGAGAATGGTAGATGACATTCCCAGCTCTAGGACACAGCATCCACTAATGCTGCTTCAGACCTTTTTCTTTCAGAGCACTTCCAAGGATTTTCTTCTGAAGAAAATAGGTTAATATTACTGCACTGTACCTGCATATTACTTTAAAAAAAACCACACACCTGCCATGGAGAGAATACTTTTCTTGGTACCTTTGACTCAACTAAATCCACAATAGTATTTAGTTATGGAATGGTATGCATGACTATTAAAGACTTCCTAGAGCTGTGTCCTAGAGCTGGGAATGCCCATAAAGGAGAGGCAGCATAAAACAGTGCCCATACAAGTTCAAATGTGTCGCTACTGCAAGGTTGTTTGACATCACTAAGTGGCTTCAGACAGCTTTGCCCACTGTTGCACTTGCCCTCATCAGGAAAGCAAATGAAAGGACAAGAAAGCCCTGCCTCCTGCTGCTAGATCTAAGAACCTCACTTCACACTTGGAAAATTGCTGCACTTGCTAATTTACAATGAAGTAGACTGTTCAGTTCTGGCACCCTTACATTAAGTAATACTTTATTAAAGGATTCTGTTCATACTGTGCCATGATTCATTTATTCACTCTTAAATAACAGGTGCACAGTTGGAAGATTAAAAAGACCTCCTAATTTCTGCTGACACCCCACCGTTTTTCTTCTATGGAAGTATATTTTTGGGGTGGTGGCAAGGAGAGAAGAGGAAGAGAAGACATTCTCCAAGATAGTATTCTTAGCTAGTGAGAAGACTATCCAGTCTAGTTTGGAAGCATAAAATGATTCAGCTAAATTGCACTCTCAATATATAAGGGCATGCAGTGACAGATGTCTCAGGAGACAAGTACTCAAGATAATACATTTACCTTAAACATATCAAATAAAAAAAAAATATCCACCCAAATGCAACCTGTGTCTCGTAACCCACCATAACCAAAAAGTGAGGAGAATTACTGCTGGGGGATTAAATAATTAATGAGCCATGCATATTTTAATTTTTTTGTGCAGAAAAAAAGCTTCTGCCGAAAAATTGCTACAGTTCCATCTTTTGCCCACCAGAGGGCGCTGTGGCACTAGAACACAGCAGCCGCTCCCAGTCAACTAGGAAAGAGAAAGAGCCTGCCTTCTTCACAGGAGATGCAGGTCAGGAGATGGAGGCTCAGAAGGGCTAGTGGGGGAGGACAGACTGGTGCAGGGACTGAATGGGATTGGAGGCGCAGGGCCACAGGGGGAGGGAGGTGCATGGTCACATGGTGATGGGGGAGGGGGTGCAGAGCTACATAGGGATGGGGGTGGCTGAGTGGGGGCACAGAGACACATGGGGACACGGGGAGGGGTTGCAAGGCCACATGGTGATGGGGGTAGTGGGTGTCTGAATGGGGGTGGAGGGACACATGTGGAGAGGGGGTGCAAGGACACACGGGGATGCAGGAACACAAGGGAACAGGGGCAGATGTGCCTGACTGAATGGGAGAGGCTAGGGGTCAGCCAGGGTCTGCATGGGGGAAGCTCCCTAACAATCCCTCCCCGCCCCCCAAATAAATTTGTTCCATACTTTTCCCACCCATATCCAACAACCCTCCAAGTTCACACCCAGGCTCCTTCCCAGCCATTTACTTCCCTCTCCCTCAGCTCCTCCATTACCCCTAACTCCCCCAAGCCTTTGCACTGCTTCTAAGGGGTGCAGGAAATACGGTTCTGTATTGTAGTTTAAATGAATTATTACTCAGAGTTCTGTATTAATATGCATAGTTAGGAATCTATTTGTCAAAGAACATTTCCTGAATCTTTTTTGTTGTTTGTATTAGATATACTTGCTCACAGGTATTTTGAAATTAATGACCAAAAATAATTGAAACTGGTGTGATTATATTGTGTTATTTTGACAAATAAAATTGGAGAATTTTAAAATATTGTGCTCAGAATTTTTAAATTTTTGGTGCAGAATTCCCCCAGGAGTATAAGAATGGTTTAGAGCCACTGTTTGTTTTGATGAATACCCTTCCCTTGGTTTCAGTAGCAAAGGGACAAGGTGAGGTGTAATTATATTCCCATCTCATAGGTAATGCTGCGAGTCTGTCACAAAGGTCACAGATTCCGTGACTTTCCCTGACCTCCGTGACTTTTGCAGAGTCTGGTGCTGGCTCACGGTTTGGGTGTACAGGAGGGGGCTCAGGATTAGGGGCAGAGGTTGGGGGCTGCAGGGGGTGCTTACTTTGGGGTGGGGAGCTCCTGGTTCCCACTGGGATGGCCCCCCTGCAGCTCCTAGGTGGCTGAGGGGTCTTCATGCTGCCAGCGCCCGCAGTCCCCGCCCCCACAGCTCCCATTGGCGGTGGTTCCCGACCAATGGGAGCTGCGGCAGCTGGCGCTTGCGGCAGGAGCAGTGGAGTCCTGCCCTGGCCCCTGCCTCCGCCGCCTAGGAGCTGCAGGGAAGCAAAGCCAGGTAGGAAGCCCTGCCAGCCCCGCCAAACCCCCACACCCATACCAGCCGCTCACCATGGCAGGTAGGTCTCAAATTAATCTGTTTTATGATTTAAATATTAAGCACTTAAGTAAGTAAGTCATCAATCCTTTTGCTTTTGTTTGGCTTCTTCTTCAGGGCCAAAGGCATCTGGTGTCAGATTTGCTACTTTAATTTTTTGCGGTTTCAGTGAAAGGTTGGTGGCTAAGTCTCTTCCTTCCATGACTTAATCTGTTTGCTAGTCTCCTCCACTGAAATGACTGCAGTTCAGACCTCTGACTCACAAATTAGGACTAGCAGACATCTACTCATTGCAGAAAACAGCACACTATTTTTGGCTTGCATGCTGGTTTGGGCAGAAGTATTGTGCCCAACGCAGGCACAACATAGCTGAAAGCACTGCTATAGCACATGCACAAATGACTTCAGCTCCATCCTTTTAAAGGGCACTGCTTGTCTGGGCCAGCCAAGCTCTGCTAACCATGCCCACTCCATTAACACCCATGCAATGCAAATCTCAATTTAACCCTTGGTTATACATAAGGCAGTGAAGAACAATTCAGTTTTCTGAATTTTTCAGCGAGCAATTTCCATTGTTAATAATTGTTTGTTCCTATCTTGAGTGTGCTTAATTTCACATTTAGTGCACAAGACTTTTGAGAAGAAGATTGCCAGAAGATAGCCTTAAGATTTTCTCAACTATACTATATTTTGTGTTCACTGCATTTTCTGGTGCTCTGTTCCCCTCACCACTAAGAATTATTTTTGTTCCTACATTAGAAGCAACACTGTATCACCAAGAATAGAGAGTAACAGTTTCTTAGCCTTCTTTTAGATTCAGAGCTGGATGAAAGATGCCTATGCTACATCTTTCAGATGAAAAGGTCATAATAGCAGCAAGGAGAAGGAATGCACTTCTATTTCTTCTCCTCAAATTTCTATTGTTTAGCTACTATATCCTCTGAATTTTACCCAATGAAAGTTTCTTAGCATTTGGTCAGGAACAATTACTCTTTTTTATTTGATCCAGGGAAACCTGATGTCACCACATATTTTAGGTAGTCCCCATGGATACTAAATGGTTTCTCATTTTTTATACTGACTCACTTTTGTGATGCAGTCATACTGAACTAAATCCTGCAAAGTGCTGAGCCTGCCACCATCTACTGTTAAAATCCCACAAAAGATGCCAGTGCTCAGTGTCTCTCCCTCATGAGTCTATTTTTGGAGTGAGTACAGACACAAAATGTAACTCTTTGTCCTTGAAATGGCCAAAAGGTAGGTGTTTCAGTGGACTAGCATGACAAGATGGATCAGGTAATATCTTTTACTGGACCAACTTCTGTAGGTCATTTGTTCAGCCTCTAAAGTTTCTAAAGAGAAATGCCATGTTTGCCAGTTCAGCCACTGTTAATTTTTTCCTCTTTTCTACTCAGTTTTCTTTTGGAAAGATGTCTCTCTTTCTTGGAGTCTAATTATCTGGGACTTCTGCATTTTTGTTTTTTCAGTCACAAAAAAGGAGTGAAATTACATGTGAAAGTACAACTAGAGGACACAGCAGAAATGTCAGCTGTAAACTGGGAAGTTACTGCTACAAGCCAGCAAACACTGAACAAAACTAGTTGACACTATTTACAAGTGGCCAAACAATATGAATACCATTTTGGTGAGGATGCAGTGTTAATTTATTCTTAGTTTAAGAGACTGTCCATTTTATTTTATTTTCCCTCTTACTGACAGGGTGGTTTTGGAGGATTCCTCTAACGAAACATTCAAAGGTCTATTTTTCAGCCTCTATTTTTTAATGCACATTAATTTGATGTAGTGTATTTCAAACTGATAGTTTCTTTAAGCTATTGTCTGTTCTTGGGGGTTGGGTGGGGGGCTTGTTACCTTGCATATCTATGAGCATAAGGTAGCAAAACTAGCGAGATCTTGAGCAAGGAGCAGTAGCAATTGCTCAGTCAGGTGCCCCTCCCAGAGTCTTGCTGGTGGTCTACAGGTAATCTGGCACTAGTCTAGAGCAGTTCTTCACAGAGCTAGCCAATCAACCTGATATGACCCTGTCATCAAGATAAGGAATGTACCCTACTACACTGTTTGATAAGGTTTGGCATATAGTAGCCAGCTGTGTTCTCACAGGGCTAGGTAGGGAAGAAGGCAGTGTGGAGACAAAGGCTATCTGTGGTCCTGGCCTCCACTCAGTCCCCCCTTCATCCTAGCGCCGCATATTTTGAAGGTCAAATCTCATGCTACTCCCCAGGAGCCAAATCCCGCCCCTTCCTACCACATGGAAGAACCCATAAATCAACTTCTCAGTTCAAAATCAGTGGCCCTATTCCCATGAACGAATAACAGACGAGGGGAAGAATCAGATTCTTAATTTGGATGATTGATTGTTAATAATGGTCAATTTTGCATGTTCAGTTTGTAGGGGGAGTAAAATTTATTTATTTATTTATTTATTGCTGCAATGGACAGAATTCACACTTTTTCCTTTACAGGAAACTGGACCAAAAACTTAAATAATGAAAACTAAGTACTTTGTTTTACATTATCTTGCTTTGTAACAAGAATTTGTACAGTATTCACAAACAGTTTAACAGATTAAAAAAAAGGGTTTCCTCCAAAGCACTTGGACATGGCTGATCAAATATACACATTGGCGCTCTCATAAATACGGCTGCCCACCTTGCTTCCCAATACACTGTCTATGACCAGCCATCAATTTCAACAGTCCTGGGTTGCTAGTTAATTTAAAACTAATCTCCAAGTAAAGTAATCCCAGATTCACAGGCTAGCACCCTAGCTACTGAACCATCGTTCCTGCCCATCAATAAACGTGATCATACCGATATACATAACCTAAATACTTCATGTAGTTTTTGTATATTTTCTGCACTGCATCATTTCTGCTAGCGATATAGGGAAAGAGTTTCTACTTACATTTCAGAGCACTAAACGCCAGTTCATAGGATGAGCGCTGGGAACATTCATCTTTAAAATCTGGTAGGGATGGCACTAGTTCATTACCATACCTTACCAATATTTTATCCTGAGGCTTTTCATTACGAATGCCTTGAAAAATTTTAGCTGCATTTATGTATACAGAGTCTTGATAGCCATTGTTCTCAATCAGACTTGTTGTACTCTTTTCAACAGGCTCGCTCTCATCTGAAATTGCCATTTCCCTGAAATTTGAAATGTCACCTGACAACATCAAGTTACTTTTGGAACTTGGCATTCTTTCCCTGTTGCTTTGTCAGCACAATAAAATTTGACAAATCAGAATCCCACTGTCTCTGCAAAAACAAGAAAAATTTGTATTAAAATTCAGTTAAAAATCAGTTTTCAGTTTCATTAAAGTGTTTCTCTTCATTTTTATGGTTTTTAATGGAAATGCTTAAAATTTTCTGATCTAGGCGCCAATTCCGTGCTTAACTTTGACATATACTCAACTTTATCCAATGTGAAAGTCAAAATGTTATTTCATTATTTTAAAAAAATACAAGTTACTTTTATAAATATATAAATGCAGATGAATTACCTTATAATAACCATGGTTCTTTGAAATACGTTGTCCATGTGGATTCTGCCCTCATTCCTTGCTTCTACAGAGTCCTAATCCTGTGAAATTCTGTATTGGTGAAGGAATTGAGAGATGGCTGGGCCCGCTTCATCCTTCGCATCCTTGGAAAGGGGTGTGCAAGAACACTCAGGGAGTAGGTGTGGTCCCTATGGACACTGGTAGCTAAAACTGATCTTGTGCAGCTGTAGCTCATGCACACCCAAGATCTGTTTTAGTTAGCAGTTTCCATAGGGACCACACCTGCACGATAAGGATATGTCTACACAGCAATGTAAGCCCTGGCCTAACCCCGCTTGCATCCACACACCAATTGTGTTAACCTAGGGTTTGAATCTAGGGTCCCAAGACACTGCAGGGTCCAAACCCTTGTTAAGCTGGGACCTAGGATCTGAGCCCTATTGCTTTCCTGTGTGCACGCAGCCTGGCTTCACTCAGGTCCCAGAAGTTCTCCATATGTATTTCAGAGTTTCTGGGGGCAACTTCCTTAATCCTCCCTATGTTGACAATCTATGATACAGTCAATGGGAAGCTACACCTCCCCTTTGCAAATGGGAGCAGCTCATAGCATGCTTACAGACCCATGTTTAGCAGACAATCAGAGAGCCTGCAGGGTTTTCAATTGAGACTGATCAGAAGAAGCTTTTTGCAAAGATAGCTACTTCCTGGTCACAAGAGCGCAGCCAGATTTTAGTGCACGCTGCTTGGGTGCCCCTGCACACACAGGCCCAGGGAGGGGGCAGAAAGTGGAGCAGGGATTAAGTAACTGCCCTGCAGATATGGAGAGCAGCAGCGCTCCCAGCTCAGCACAGCTGGGGAAAGATGACCCCCAATACCCCAGCTTCTCCTCCTCCTTGCAGGGGCACTCCCGCCATCCCCACTCTGCTCATTGGCTCCCCCTACCCTCCCTAGGGCTGCATGCGCAGGGGGACCCAGGTAGCATGCACTGTCTGGGCAGCGAGTGGGAGCCAGCCCCAAAACCTCCATGCAGCCTCCTACAGCATTGGCTCCAGCTCCTCTTCACTGAGCACTGAGCTTGCCCAGAGCAGAGACCAAAGCGACAGGTGGGAGGCAACCCCCAACATCCTGGCAGCCGGGAGCCATTCTTCTCCCAGCTGTGCTGAGCCAGGAGCTCTGCCGCTTCCCCTCCCTAGAGGTCAACCGCTTGTTCTTGCTCCGTTTTCTGCCCCATGCTCCTGGAGCTCCCCACCCTTCCTGGGGCTGCATGTGCAGAGGCAGCCAGGCAGCGTGCACTGTGAGGGCAGTGAGTGGGAGCCAGCCTTCAAGCTTCCCCACAGTCTCTCAGGTATCCCTTATTCCTATACACAGTTGAGCTCAGAAGAAGCCCTATTCAATCACTTTAATAGAGAGAGATAGGCTGCTTTTCAGTTCATTTCTCTAGTCCAACAGTTATTCTTAGTCCTATTATTTGACTTCCTATAACACCTTTGAGGACTATCTTATATGTCTGAATTAAGTATTTTCAAGTTTACTGGGAGGGAAATGAATTTCTTTCACCAATAAAAGTCTCCTTGTACCATTAAGACTGAGGCTTATATTCCTGGACAAAAGCCACCTCTGTAGTTCCCCAACATGGTGTCTAGCAGTATTATCATTTGATATTTTGCTTAGGAAACTGGGTGGGCAGTAAAGTTTTCCCACAGTGCAACACATTCATAAGGTTAGAGTGTTGACACATGGCAGGAGAGGGAGAGGGGAAGAATACTAGCACTCTGGGATAGGGTTACTTTGACTCAGCTCCGTGCACTGCACTGTGGATAACAGAGCCCTAGGCTCAAGCACAAGTCAGAAAATCCTTAACCTAGGGTTAAAAGGCAGTGTAGACAATCAAGCCCACAGTTCCCTGACATGGGTATGCTGACTTGGGAAACACTAACCCAAGACTTACACTGCTGTATAGACATATCTTAGTGTCCTTGCACACCCCTATAGAACTGTAGAAGCAAGGAAGGAGGGCAGGTCATGGAATCCATGTGGACAACATATTTCAAAGAACCGCAGTTACTATAAGTAACTATTGTGTGAATGATCATCATCATGGATTCCACTCCTAGTGACTAAGGCCATGTCTACTCATACAGCACTGCACCACATCTGGGGAAGACACTATATGCCAACAGGAGAGAGCTCTCCCGTCAGCATAAAAAAATCCCACCTCCATGAACAGCAGAAGCTACGTCAGCAGGAGAAGAACACAAGTGCTTATGTTGGTGTAACAAGTGCTCATGTTGGTTATTCACACCCCCGAGACACACAAGTTATGCCAACATAGGCTGCAGTGTAGACACAGCCTAACAAGCAGCTTGGATGTGGGGTCTAAGAGTCCTATTTAAACAATGATTGTGGGACACCTCTACCAAACCAGATATCCAATCTGGACAGCTCTATTAAAAAGGTGTGGCCAGAGCTCCATGTGGATGCCCTACAGATTTCAGAAACAGGGGACAGTCTTCAACCAGGCAGAGAGGCTGCCTACCTTTAGTGGAATGAGTTCTAATGTGGCTAGTAAGATCTGACTTGGCTAATTCATAACACATTCTTACACATCTGGAGACTCATTTTGATAACCTCTGAGAATATTGCTTGACATGTCACCCTCTCTGCTTAGAGGTTTCTAATTTTTTTTTTCCTTTCTGTAAATGGAAAGATCATGCCCTTACTCAAGTGTGTGAAGCTTAGTTTTGCCGAAGGTTGAGTGTGACTTGGAAAAGAAAACTGAGGGTGAACCCATTGATTTAAATGAAAATCTGAAGAAAAAAAAAATCATAGCCAGGAACTTGGTGTGAGGCCTATCAGTCACCATCTCTTTATAGAACACCCTGTAAGGTCAACTAGGCCTAAGGGCTGGAATTTCCCATATCCTGTGAGCTGATGTTATAGCTACTAAAAAAGGCAGCCTTCATAGGCAAGTGGTAAAAAGAGTGGGTGTAAGGGCTCAGAAGGGGGTCTCATTAAACCAGCTAACACTATGTTGAGATACCAGGAAGAAAGGGAATCTCAGAATAAGGGAAAACATAAATGAGACCTTTGAGGAATTTAGCAACTATACAGTAGAAAAATATGGTATGACCAGACCCTCAATTGGAGAATTATGCACAGATATCGCTGGTAGGTGTATTCTTAGGGAACTGAAGGATAGTCCTGAATGTTTTAGGGTTAGCAGATAATTCAGAACAGCAGAAATGGGTTTTTCTAAGGGAGACAGGTGACACTGTGCCCAAATGGAAAATCTCTTCTATTTTGCTGTATAAGTTTCCAGAAAAACTTTTTAGATTATGTATCAAGATGTTCTTGATCTCAGCTGAACAGCTTCTTCCAGTGGCAGTTAACACATCTGATCGCATGGATGCTGGCTGAATAATGCTTGATCCAGGTGTAAGATCTGACCTTCGTTTTGTTAAGTCACATCTGGTAAAACAGGTTGGAAATAAAGCTGATAGCTTCACTAGGTCTGAGTACCAGAGCTGTCTGGGCCAGGCTGGGACTACCATGACCATGAAGGCTGAATCTTGACTGAGAGCCCTTGGTCATGGGTGGTGGGTATCATAGGCTGGGGGAGGCTGTGCCTCCCCAAACAGCCTGGTGTGGCCCCACCCACACTCCACCTCCAGGTCCCCTCCTGCAGTTCCCAGTGCTCTGCCCTGGCCAGCTGGGGCTGGAGCTGGCTGGCCTGCTGCATGGACTCGGGTGGCTGGCATTAGGGCCACACTGCCCACACAGCACTCGGACTGTGTCACCTGGCACACCAGGGCTGGGGGCCACAGTGGGGGTGCTCTGGGCTCCTGGAGGGAGTGGGAAAATAAGCGGGACGGGTGGGACCTTGGGCAGGAGAGAGGCCAGGGGCTAGCCTCATCCAATGGCCAGGTCACCAGGCACCCATGCCCTTGGTACTAACAGGAGTGGCAAGTAGGCACATGAGCCCCAGTCTGCATAAAATGAGGACAGCATCTGACAGGGTGCCTAAGCCCAAACTCCTCTCTGAAGCTAAACACAGGACATTTATTATCCTCAGCTGTGGAAAAAAAAGGATCTTCAAGACTGAGTCTTTCAGTGTCCACTCATATCTGTTAAGTTGACGGGAGAGAATTTTAAAACCCTGGAAGACACATAGTGACTAGCGTGATCTGATGACTGCACCAATCCTAGAGACAAACAGCTTCTCAGCACAGCAGTGATGACTATGCTCCTCTTTCTGTTGACATAATGCATAGCTGTGATGTTTTCTGCTGTCACTTGGATCACAGATCCCTGCAACAAGGGGAGGAATGCCATGCATGCTAGATGACATAGGGCTCAGCTATTTACGTGAAGTTGAGCTTGGGTGGGGAGGAAGAGTCAGAGACCTTGTGTTGGAAAATGGTAAAAAGTGCTTCTTCTCCTAAATGGGGAGCTGATCTTTACCAACATTTTGGTAGGAAGTGGTGCAGCAAAGAGGTACTCTGGTGAAAGAACACTTTCACATGGGTAACAATCTAACAGAGGAATTTCACGGGACCTTCACTTTCATGTCCACATGGTATTTCTTAGTAGATACAGTAACTCCCGCGCTTAACGTTGTAGTTATGTTCCTGAAAAATGCTACTTTAAGTGACACGATGTTAAGCTAATCCAATTACCCCATAAGAAGTAATGTAAATAGCGGGAGTTAGCTTCCAGGGAATTTTTTTAAGTTTTAAACAAACAATTTAATACAGT